GAAGGCTTGGACCAATACATACTACTGGTGTAATATATTGGCATGAAGTACAAGCTCTAAGTTATATGTTTGTAATGTGTCCCTTTAGTCAGGGATTTTATTGTCATGAACAATTGGCTACAAATGTGTTATATATCTGTATATTTGGGAGTGGGTATTTTGTATACCCCCGACAACGATGATATCGTCATGCAAGGTGTGCCTGCAGTGATGACAATGATGGAGGCGATGATGTGCTTCCTGGCAGGTGTACCTCGAGTGTGATGATGTGGTTTCTGGCAGGTGTGCCTTGAGTGATGATGTGATCCGTGGCAGGTGTGCCTGGAGTGACGATGATGGTTATGACGCTGATGTGATCCGTGCATGTGTGCCTGGAGTGATGACGATGATAGTGATACGAGGATGTCCTGGCAGGTGTACCTAGAGTGCTCAGTGCGCGTGTGCAACGTCTCGACTGGGGCTCGCGGTGCCGTCGAGGCTGCATGCGGGGAGGGCGGGTGGCGCGAGACCTCGGGACGGTGCACGGAGATGCACGTCATGCCGAGCACTCCGTCGACGGTCCCAGGGCCCCATCAGACTGCGCAAGACTCGTGAAGGTCAGACCCCTGGTTCGCTGTTGCCAAAATCTCCCAGTCCGCCAATGCTTTCCATTGAATGCTGGCAGTAGTATGAGCAGGACGTGACGTGACGTGCCGGGCAATGGTGATGCACGTCTGTAATGCAGCATTCTGGAGGTGAGGGTTAGTGGATCATACAAAGTTGTGAAACACTGTGTGCGTCGAGGTTGCTATTCCCTTGTTCGCCAGAAGATGGAGGTACATCAAGTGGATTAAGTTCTGTTACCACTCACTCACCACTCACTCACCACTCACTCACCACTCACTCACCACTCACTCACCACTTACTCACCACTCACTCACCACTCACTCACCACTCACTCACTCACCACCTACTCACCACTCACACCACTCACTCCACTTACTCACCACTTACTCACCACTTACGCACCACTCATCACCACTCACTCACCACTCACTCACCACTCACTCCACTCACTCACCACTCTACTCACCACTTACTCACCCACTCACTCACCACTCACTCACCACTCACTCACACTCACTCACCACTTACTCACCACCATCTCACCACTCACTCACCCCTCATACCACTTACTCACCACTCACTCCCACTACTCACCACTCACTCACCACTCACTCACCACTCCTCACTCACTCACCACTTACTCACCACTCACTCACCACATCACTCACCACTCACCACATCACTCACCACTCACTCACCACTCACTCACTCACTCACCACTCACTCACATCACTCACCACATCACTCACCACTCACCACATCACTCACCACTCACCCCACCACTCACTCACTCACCATCAATCACACTCAACCACTCACTCACCACTCATCAACTCACTCACCACTCACACACTCACCCACCACTATCACCACTCACTCACTCACTAATAAACCTCTCACTCACCATCACTCACCACTCACTCACTCACTCACCACCACTCACCACTTCACCACTCATCACCACCACTCCTCATCACTCACTCACCACTCACTCACCACTTACTCACCACTCACTCACCACTCACTCACCACTTACTCACCACTCACTCACCATCACCACTCATCACCATCATCACACCACTCACCACTTACTCACCACTCACTCACCACTTACTCACCACTCACTCACCACTCACTCACCACTCACTCACCACTCACTCACTCACTCACCACTCACTCACCACTTACTCACCACTTACTCACCACTCACTCACCTCACTCACCACTTACTCAACTCACTCACCACTCACTCACCACTCACTCACCACTCACTCACCACTACTCACCACTCACTCACCACTCACTCACCACTCACTCACCACTCACTCACAATCATCAACTTACTCACCACTATCACCACTCACTCACCAACTCACCACACTCACTCACTCAACTCCTCACTCACCACTTATCAATCATCACCACTCACTCACCACTCACTCACCACACTCACTCCACCACTCATCACCACTCACTCACCACTCACTCACACTCACTCACCACTTACTCACACTTATCACATCACTCACCACTCATCACTCACATCACTCACTCATCACTCACCACTCACTCACCACTCATCATCACTCACCACTCACTCACTCACTCACCACTCACTCACTCCTCACCACTTACTCACCACTCACTCACTCCTCACCATCACTCACCACTCATCACCACTCACTCACACCACTCACTCACTTACTCACCACTCACTCACCACTCACTCACCACTTACTCACCACTCACTCACTCACTCACCACTCACTCATCACCTCACCACCATCATCACTCACTCACTAACTCACTCACAACTTACTCACCACTCACTCACCACTCACTCACCACTCATCACTCCCACTCACTCACCACTCACTCACTCACTCACCCTCACCACACTCACCACTTACTCACCACTCACTCACACTCACTCACCACTCACTCACCACTCACTCACTCACTCACCACTTACTCACCACTCACACACTCACTCACCACTCACTCACCACTTACTCACCACTCACTCACCTCACTTACCACTCACTCACCACTCACTCACCACTCACTCACTCACTACCACTCACTCACCACTCACCACTCATCACCACTCACTCACTACTCACCACTCACTCACTCACTCACCACTCACTCACCACTCACTCACTCACCACTCATCACCACTTACTCACCACTCACTCACCACTCACTCACCACTCACTCACTCACCACTCACCACTTACTCACCACTCACTCACCACTCACTCACCACTCACTCACTCACCACTCACTCACCACTCACTCACCACTCACTCACCACCACACACTTACCACTCTCAACTCACTCACCACTCACTCACCACTCACTCACCACTCACTCACCACTCACTCACACTCACTCACTCACCACTCACTCACTCACTCACTCCTCACCCAACTCACATCACCACTCTACTCACACTACTCACCACTCACTCACTCACTCACTCACTCACTCACTCACCACTCACTCACTCACTCACTCACTCACTCATCTCACGTCACTCACCACTCACTCACACCTCACCTCACAGGCACTCACTCACTCACTTCACTCACCACTCACTAATCCACTCATCCACTCACCTCACATCATCCACTCACTCACACTCACTCACTCACACACTCACTCACTCACTCACCTCACCACTCACTCACTCACCACTCTCACTCACTCATCTCAACTCACTCATCACCACTACCTCATCACTCACTCACTCACTCACTCACCACTCACTCACTCACAACTCACGGTCACACTCTCTCACTCACTCACTCACTCACTCACCACTCACTCCACTCACTCAATACCTACTCACTCACCACCACTCACTCACTCACTCACTCATCTCACTCATCACGTCCTCACCACCTCACTCTCAGTCACTCACTGTCACTCACTTCACCACTCACTCACTCATCACCACTCACTCACCACTCCACTTCACGCACGCACAATCCACTCACTCACTCACCATCACCTAATCACTCACCACTCACATCACTCACTACACTGCACTCACTCATCTCACTCACTCACCACTCACTCACTCACTCACCACTCACTCACCACTCACTCAACTCACTCACTCACCACTCACTCACCACTCACTCACCACTCACTCACTCACCGCTCACTCACCACTCACTCACTCACTCACCCTCACTCACCACTCACTCACCACTCACACTACCACTCACTCACTCACTCACCACTCTCACATCACTCACTCACTCACCACTCACTCACCACTCACTCACACTTACACCACTCACTCACCACTCACTCACACTCACTCACCACTCACTCACCACTCACTCACTCACTCCCACTTACTCACCACTCACTCACCACTCACTCACCACTCACTCACCACTTACTCACCACTACTCACCACTCACTCACCACTCACTCACCACCACTCACCACTCACTCACTCACTCACCACTCACTCACCACTCACTCACTCACTCACCACTCACTCACCACTCACTCACCACTCACTACCACTCACTCACCACTCACTCACCACTCACTCACTCACTCACACTCCACACTCACTCACCACTCACTCACCACTCACTCATTACTCACCACTCACTCACCACTCACTTACCACTCACTCACCACTCACTCACCACTCACTCACTCACTCACCACTCACTCACCACTCACTCACTCACTCACCACTCACTCACCACTCACTCACCACTCACTCACTCACTCACCACTCACTCACCACTCACTCACTCACCACTCACTCACCACTCACTCACCACTCACTCACCACACTACTCTCTCACCACTTACTCACCACTCATCACCACTCACTCACCACTCACTCACTCACCACTCACTCACCACTCACTCACCACTCACTCACCACCCACTCACCACTTACTCACCACTCACTCACCACTCACTCACCACTCACTCACCACTCACTCACCACTCACTCACCATCTCACTCACTCACTCACCACTCACTCACCACTCACTCACCACCACTCACCACCCCCTCACCACTTACTCACCACTCACTCACCACTCACTCACCACTCACTCACCACTTACTTACCACTCACTCACCACTTACTTACCACCACTCACACTCACTCACACTCACTCACCACTTACTCACCACTCACTCACCACTTACTTACCACTCACTCACCACTCACTCACCACTCACTCACTCACCACTCACTTACCACTCACTCACTCACCACTCACCACACCACTCACTCACCACTCACTTACCACTCACTCACTCACCACTCACTCACTCACTCACTCACCACTTACTCACCACTCACTCACCACTCACTCACCACTCACTCACCACTCACTCACCACTCACTCACCACTCACTCACTCATCACACTACTCACTCACTCACCACTACTCATCACCTACTCACCACTCACTCACCACTCACTCACCACTTACTCACCACTCACTCACCACTCACTCACCACTCACTCACCACTCACTCACACTCACCACCTACTCACCACTCACTCACCACTCACTCATCACCTACTCACCACTCACTCACCACTCACTCACCACTCACTCACCACTCACTCACCACTCACTCACCACTCACTCACCACTCAACTCACCACTCACTCACCATCACTTACCACTTACTCACCACTCACTCACCACTCACTCACCACTCTACTCACCACCACTCTACTCACCACCACCCTACTCACCACTCACTCACCCTCACTCACACTTACCACCACTCACTCACCACTCACTCACCACCACTCACCACTCACCACTCACCACTCACTCACCACTCTACTCACCACTCACTCACCACTCACTCACCACTCACTCACCACTCTACTCACCACCACTCTACTCACTCACCACTCTACTCACCACTCATCACCACTCTACTCACCACTCACTCACCACTTACTCATCCACTCACTCACACTCACTCCCCACTCACTCACCACTCACTCACTCACTCCCCCTACTCACCACTCACTCACCACTCACTCACCACCACTCACCAGTTCCTCACCACTCACTCACCACTCATCACCACTCACTCACCACTCACTCACCACTCACTCACCACTCACTCACCACTCACTCACCACTCACTCACCACTCACTCACCACTCACCTCACCACTCACTCACACTCACTCACCACTCACTCACCACTCACTCACCCACTCACTCACCACTCACCACCACTCACCACTCATCCACTTACTCACCACTCACTCACCACTCACTACCACTCATCCCCACTCACTCACCACTCACTCACCACTCACTCACCACTCACTCACCACTCATCACCACTTACTCACCACTCACTCACCACTTACTCACCACTCACTCACCACTCACTCACCACTCACTCACCACTCACTCACCACTCACTCACCACTTACTCACCACTCACTCACCACTTACTCACCACTCACTCACCACTCACTCACCACTCACTCACCACTCACTCACCACTCACTCACCACTCACTCACCACTCACTCACCACTACTCACACTCACTCACCACTTACTCACCACTTACTCACCACTCACTCACCACTCACTCACCACTCACTCACCACTCACTCACCACTCACTCACCACTTACTCACCACTCACTCACCCACTCACTCACCACTCACTCACTCACTCCCCACCACTCACCAATCACCTCACCACTCCACTCACCACTCACTTACCACTCACTCCCACTCACTCACCACTCACTTACCACTCACTCACCACTCACTTACCACCTACTCACCACTCACTTACCACTCACTCACCACTCACTCACTCACTCCCACCACTCCCCACCACTCACCACTCACTCACCACTCACTTACCACTCACCCACCACTCACTCACCACTTACTCACCACTCACTTACCACTTACTCACCACTCACTCACTCACTCACCACCTACTCACCACTCACTCACCACTCACTCACCACTCACTCACCACCTACTCACCACTCACTCACTCACTCCCCACCACTCACCACTCACTCACCACTCACTCACCACTCACTTACCACTCACTCACCACTCACTCACCACTCACTTACCACTCACTCACCACTCACTTACCACTCACTCACCACTCACTCACCACTCACTCACCACTTACTCACCACTCACTCACCACTCACTCACCACTCACTCACCACTCACTCACCACTCACTCACCACCTACTCACCACTCACTCACCACTTACTCACCACTCACTTACCACTTACTCACCACTCACTCACCACTCACTCACCACTCACTCACCACTCACTCACCACCTACTCACCACTCACTCACCACTCACTCACCACTTACTCACCACTCACTCACCACTCACTCACCACTCACTCACCACTCACTCACCACTCACTCACCACCTACTCACCACTCACTCACCACTCACTCACCACTCACTCACCACCTACTCACCACTCACTCACTCACTCACCACCTACTCACCACTCACTCACCACTCACTCACCACTCACTCACCACTTACTCACCACTTACTCACCACTCACTCACCACTCACTCACTCACCACTCACTCACTCACTCACCACCTACTCACCACTCACTCACCACTCACTCACCACTCACTCACCACTCACTCACCACTTACTCACCACTCACTCACCACCTACTCACCACTCACTCACCACCTACTCACCACTCACTCACCACTTACTCACCACTCACTCACTCACTCACCACTCACTCACCACTTACTCACCACTCACTCACCACTCACTCACCACTCACTCACCACTCACTCACCACCTACTCACCACTCACTCACCACTTACTCACCACTCACTCACCACTTACTCACCACTCACTCACCACTTACTCACCACTCACTCACCACCTACTCACCACTCACTCACCACTTACTTACCACTCACTCACCACTCACTCACCACTTACTTACCACTCACTCACCACTCACTCACCACTCACTCACCACTTACTCACCACTCACTCACCACTTACTCACCACTCACTCACCACCTACTCACCACTCACTCACCACCTACTCACCACTCACTCACCACCTACTCACCACTCACTCACCACCTACTCACCACTCACTCACCACCTACTCACCACTCACTCACCACTTACTCACCACCTACTCACCACTCACTCACCACCTACTCACCACTCACTCACCACTTACTCACCACTCACTCACCACCTACTCACCACTTACTCACCACTCACTCACCACCTACTCACCACTCACTCACCACTCACTTACCACTTACTCACCACTCACTCACCACTTATTCACCACTCACTCACTCACTCACCACCTACTCACCACTCACTCACCACTCACTCACCACCTACTCACCACTCACTTACCACTTACTCACCAATTAGTGTAACCCTCCCTTCTACGTGTGGGGTTTCTCCGGGTGCTCCGGTTCCCTTACCCATGTATAATCACTCATTAATGGAATTGGCAATATAGGGCCAGACCTTGGGCAATTGTTGGTGCTGGATCTGACTGCCATCCCATGTGTCTGTGGTTTCTCTCTGAAGGGAACACCTTTGAATCAAGGGAAAAAGTGTCACGTTACAAATTTGTGACTTTTAGTTTGAAATAAAATGGTAGAAAACTTTTGTTTGCAGGTGTCCGCTTGCACAAATTATGATGCATAGGTTGATTGTTATTTAAAACTCATCTGGTACTGGGCCGTTATGTGAATGGTAACTATTTATGGCTCTGCCTTATTCAACACCTGGCTGGCCAGTGTAGGTACATTCCTGTAATTACAATTTTGGAGGAGGCGTTTGTGGCCCTTGCAGAAATCACTGTGCGTGAGCCTTACACACATTTTATATGGTCTACTTATTCATAATTTTACATACTTTAGCCCGTTAGTATTAGTTATACTTTGTAACGTTAGTATAGTTAGACGGTATATCACTTATTTAAGTTTTTAAGATTCCTACATGTTGTATGTATGCACCTTCCGGCCACAGTAAATTCCGTGTATGTGCAAACTGTCATGGCGATTAAAACCGTTTCTGATTCTGATTCTGGAGCGCTGCAAGGTGGCCAGGATGTGGCAGCAGAGCAAGTTCGTTTTACACTTGTGTGTGATTCTTCCCCGTATGTATGGGGTCTGTCCAGGGTTTTCCAATTCCCACCCAATTGCAAAACGTTCTTGCAACACCGACTGAGCATCCCAATGCTGAGAATGGTCTCTGTGGATAAAGGGGATTTATTTATATATATACACATCGATACATATAATTTCTTCATTTAAAATGAGGATCACTTTTCAGACAATGATCATTTCATAAAACGTTGGGGAACTTGTGAGATTGTCGTAATTAAATTACTGTTTTGTTTGTGCTGCTGCCGTCTCTGCTGCTGTTTTTGTTGCTGCTGAACTTATTGGCAATGGTGCTGCTGCTTCTGATTTTGGTATCGGTGCTGCTGTGGACCCCCCTCCCACCCACAGCCTCTCTGGAGAAGCAGGGCAGCGATGGGTTGCCTGGCTGGACAGGCATGGTGTACGCCCTGGCTGCCACCATGGCCGTCGGTGCCGTCTGTGTGGCCACAGTGAAAATTTACCGCCACCGCGCTGCCAGGATCCAATACCAACCGCTCAGCACTTCATATTAATGTACAACTTACCAGGCTTAATGTTGCTTTTTAACTAATGCAAGCAACATGTAAAAGTAATTTTCATAAATGTTTTGTCAAGGGTTTCCAGTAAATACACAAAATCGTGCAGCAAGATGCACAAAACAGGAATTCAGAGTTGAAAATTGTAGCCAGTATTGACGACGTTTTACACTTCAAATACATGAGCATAACAAAGTGGCGTCTACAGAGCTAGATAAGTGAGGGCATGAATATACACTTGCCAAATGTTGCTTTAAAATGCATTGGCACAAATGTGGTGTCATGTCATCGCAAACACCATACATATCACTCGAATCCGGTTCTCAAACAAGTCCAGTAAACTACTTGTTTGGATCTCCAGGATAACCTATATACATACAGTAAGCCACTACATCTAACTAAAATATTTGTTTTGGTGCAAAATAATGTCATTGGAAAAATACTGAGGTGTAGAGATAAAATATAACTAAATGTTGCAAAAATGATGTTATCATTTGAGTAGCTGATTTGTTTGAATTATTCTACAATAAACATGTTGCCGACTCATGTCTCCCAAGATAAAAGTACATGATTTAAAAAAAATCGTAATAGGAGCTTAGTTGTAGTGCAGTAGATGTGGATTAGTACGCTGTGATGATCAGATAGACCTTGGGGAGTGATATCTGGAAGAGGTGTATCAATAGAGCAGTGATAGTGAAAGACACTTGACTAAAATAATTTCAAGAATTATGAAAAAATTATGGATCTCTGGACATGACCTTGAGGCATGTTCAGACCTTCATTAGTTTGTTTTAAGTACCATGCAAACTTTGAAACTGAATCAGGCAGAGTTCCATAATTCATTCCAGAATAGACACGAAATATTAAACAATGTTTTATTTGACCAGGTAAGGCCCAATGAGCTATATAGTTATTTTTCAGAAGCGACCTGGCCACAAATGATAGCCCAATGAATTTACTTATTATATGGACATTTATAGCAGCCAAATAATTTAAACACGTTTCTAAATGTGGAGAGAAAAACCGAAGACCCGGAGAAAAATCCACACGAACACCGGGAGAACGTACAAACTCTAAACATACAGGCGGTAGGGTCGGGATCGAACCCTAACTTTAAATGTCCTGGGATGTGACATAACTCCACACAGTGGCTGTAAATTGTCTAATCTGAGTACTCACGGGACTTTCTGAGATTGTGTGTGTGTTTTTTTAATATGTCTATTAAGCCAGGTAAATGGATATTGGGTGTTTAACAAATTCAATTCGGGTTGTATTCACGATTAAATTTAATTGATTTATAAAAAAAATTGTTGAGGCAGGTGAAATAGAGTACTGTACTTACTTCCTGGAAATAAATACATTTAGGAAAGAAGATAATGTCCTGAAATGTGTTAATCCCTGCTTCACTCCAGGATTGCCATAAACAGGGAGGGGTAACGCCAATTGTTGGAATAGGTTGTAAGATAAATAACATCAAGTGAACAAATACTTCACCAGTACTCAATATGGAAATTAGTAAATGAGTGCCTTTAGAGTGAGCGTCAAGCAAGCCTACAAGCAATCGGGGTTAATATGTTCTGTGGGTTAAATATTAGTGCATTTTTTAATTATTTTTTGGGGATCTATAAAATGTTTGTGTGAAAATTGGTTTGGTTAGGGTTGCTGACGTGGGTGCATGGGGCTTGCGATCTACTTGAAAAAAAAATAGTTATTATTCCTTGTGGGCTCTGAGGATGGAACCAAGGAAAAGAAGGGGGGGGGTGTCATGGACAGTGAATCATGTGCCCCACACGTGGCAGACATCTATGGAAATAGATGTGTATTGTGTTGTTAAATGGGGTGAGGTGTCAGGCTGGGCTGGGAGCCTAACTCAAGCGGTCTGGAGACGGGAGGAAATTTTGGGAAAATTCCAAAGATGTGTCAAATTTGGGATGAGGTCTAAAAATAAAAATCTAATCTTTTTATTTATCGTCGTTGTTCATGAAAATTCCATCTCACAATCGCCGAAGAATCACAGACAAGCTAGAAGGCTGCCAGGCAGTGAGCCGACGCCAACAATTGCTCTGCTGTTCTCTATATATTACGATGAGAATACCCACACATGCGAGGGGGCAACACTATCCCATACAGAAGAAGAGATGATATCGGTTAAAACTTTGCTGTACTGAATTATGTTGGCGAGCCAGAGTATTGCACCTCGATTCCTTCGGGAAAAGTTTTTGCAACATGTCATCCACCAACCCGCGCCTCCACAGTGCTGGACTACAGGCCACGTGCATAGCCACCACCGGCTGGCACTGGTAGCTCACAACCGCAACAGGGGTCATGTAATCAGCAATGGGCCAATTAGGTGGCAATGTGGTGACATTGGAGGGGGCTGTTTAAGCAGCACACTAAGAGCATTCGGGGCGTTCAACTTTGACTTGTTGCCTGCGTTGGTCAAGTTTTTGAGAGCACATGGCACGGTGCGTTGCCTCTCGTCGCACTCATCCAATGGCAGACTCCGCCTGATTCAGCTAGGTAGAAGCCTGTCCTGCCCCGCTACAGGGAGTTCTCAACCACAAGTTCTGCTTGTGCGTTACGAGAGAATGTTTACCACTTGGTTCCGCTTGACCTGTGTTTATATGATATTGTGTAGCCAAAAAAGTGCCCACTATAATGGTAAGTTACTGATTAAAGACGTTTGCATTGCAAGGCATACGACTGGAAGTGCCATGTTGCCAGGTTACGCGATTATACGTGGAGACATGAATAAAACTAGCTATCAAGGGATGGATAAATGCTGTGCTATTACACAATTATGAAAACCACGAAAGAGCTGGTTGGAGCGCTTCTGGAAATTAAGATTTAATGCAATTATATTGCCATATAATTAAGCATACTTAACGTGCTTAATGAGCGATGCTATTCAGTATATACTGCCCGATCAGACCAATACATTGCAACATGAATACTGACAAATACAATCATGGAAACACAACTTAAAAGGAAATAACGAAGCGTGGAGATATGATTATTGGAAATTACAATGAGAGCTAAAAGAGAGAAACACGTGGATCAAATCGAAATCATAATTGCTGGTGTCCGAGATTGGTGATGGAATGGCAGTCAAAAGAGCATACACGTCCCATAGTTTGGCTAGCATGGAGATGGAGCGATGACGTTAGCTCGAATGCAGGAGTGAAATTATGGAACTAGAACAGTGATAGTGATGGTGTGGATAGGCTTTCATCTCGCACTGGATTGATCATGGCTTTTGATGATAAATGAGCAATATTTCCATTCACAGTTAAAATTGCACACCCATATCAAGTCAATCTTCCTCTCGTTTACTGGATATTTGTGAAAAAGAGCTTCATAGCTCATTGGATTTGTCCAAGATAAATAAAGATTCTGATTTTGATCATAATCAACTTCACTATTGGTGGAGTGCCATCATTGTCAGTCCTATAGATAGCATGGTTCCTGACATGTGGGCATGTATTTTAACCACCGGCATTCAAACTGAATATGATTTTGTAAAGGAGGTCCTCGTATCGAATCATATAAGGAGTGGTTTGAGAGATACGAGCAAAAGCATTATCAAAGTGTTGCCAAGACACCTACACAGTTATGGAGACACTCGAAGAGGATGAAGTCGTGTATGGCATCAAAAGCAGCAGATAAAACTCGGATGCAGTGTCAGTAGCATTTGCGGAGAGCAATATTTCGGACCTCCTAGTCCCACATTCATTAACCTCGCACTGCCCAGAATGGTAAGATATCGTCTACAAACCTAATTCAGCATATGACTATAACACTGTGGGCGTCGAGGTCGACTAAACACATTCCACCTCCGATGTCTCAGGCGCATCCTCGGTATCAGATGGCAAGATCGCATGCAGGATGGCAGAACACCCAAGGATGTCTTGTACGGCGAGCTGGCATCAGGCACACGGGTCACTGGTCGCCCAGTCCTGTGCTTCAAAGATGTCTGTAAAAGGGACATGAACAACTTCGACATAAACCCAAATGACTGGGAGAAAACTGCCAGTGACCGACTCAGCTGGCAGCAGGCTGTGACAACAGGCCTCAGGAGAGGCGAGGAGAAAAGACACACCGCTTGGCAAACCAAGAGGGAGCGACGTAAAGAACAAGCAAACAAACGCCTCTAGAGCTGCCACCGCATTCACTTGCAATTGTTGTGGCAAGGATTGTCACTCAAGGATTGGCCTACTAAGTCAGTCTAGGCGCTGCAAAACCTACAGCTGACCTCGTAAGGCGCAAAAGAAATTGTCTCTAGAGACACAAAGGCCTATATGTACAAACCTAATTCAGCATATGACTATAACAAAGGACTTAAAAAAGTATTAATATATTAGATTATGTATAACATAAATCAATGGCGTATTTGGATGTTTTTCCATGACGCATATGCAAACTTGGTGTAAATACGCGTCTCGCCAAATCGTTATGTGACTCATTCCCTCCCCCCCCGCACCTGTTCCATTCTCACCAGCTGTGATGTGAAGGTTCATCAACAAAGATTAGGGTTACAACCAGCACACACGCTATTTTTTTCCGGTGGCGATGGTACTTCTACCGTTGCACATGACCAGCAAAAAGGTTTCGTGGTGCCCTCCATTTTGCTGGCCACTCAGTTCAGTTTATTTCAGTTCAGTTCATGTATTAGGTATAGCCCTGTGAGCCATGCGGCTCTTGAATCGGGTGCAACCGCAACAAAAACATGAACAAGAAACATCTTAAAGTGCCTACGCGCAACAGAAAAATCCAATGGTAGACTCACAGCTGCAGTCCGTGCCTCCGAAGCAGGGAGGTCCGTGTCTATGTCGAACTGCTCCCGCCAGGTGCGACGAGGCCAGGCAGCGAGACACTTCCTAATATTCACTTCCTGATCCCTACTTGGTCTCACTGCCATGACTCGACCTGAAATGTCATGGGAAGTCTGTTTCAAAAGCTATTGAGTAGTTTCGTTTGCCCATATTTACCAGCAGCCACAGTTTTCAATAACACCCCCATCTCCCCTAAATTCCAAGCCAAATTGTCTCTATGCTCAAACTAGTTTCTGACGGTCCTTGCTAACAGCGACACCTTGACTTTCGTCCACTTGACTTTCGTCGCTTCGCTCTTTCGGCCGTTTTCAATTATAACCACATTTCACATTTCGTCCACGCGCTTTCCTCTTTCGTCCGATTTCATCCCAAATCTTCCACGATGTTCACGCCATGCGCCATCTTTTTCGTTCAGTCTTTGAATAAAAGTCGTTCAGTCAGCATCTCTTATATTTGTGTTTATTCATACATTATTAATACTGTACTTATTTCTGTGATTATACTGTAATTAATTAAGTTAATTTTGTGATAACAGTATAATACAAGTGTTCATAGTTATTTTCGTGATTATAAAACACGTGTACAGTATTCATACTATGCTTATTTTTGTGATTACTGTAAAATACTTATGCTCTAATATATTAACCTTATGGCGGGACCCCGGGGCCATCCATTTAGTACGTACGCAAAAATCTGTCAAAACTTGACCCCTCCCCTTCTCCATGTACACCCCCCCCGAATCCTATAGAAAGGCCGATATTTAATCCACGCAGAAACGATCAAGGATTAATAATGTAGTGTGTTCTATTGAGATGCACTCTTGAGTATGAAAGCAACACGCTTTATTCACTAACACAACAGGTAAGTCTACACTCAACGGAATAATGACTAAGGGTGGTGACCACCCTATATAGCTACATAACACACACGGTAACACTATATAATCTCCCTGGTCAGCTCACACGTTGCCTGGCTCTTGACAACTTCTCCCGACGCCCGAGGATCCAAGACTTGGCGGGCAGGTCCCATCTCTCTCCGACAGCACTCCAACGACGGCAACCCTGCCGGCTTCTCCGCACCGGCTTATATCCGCTACGGCGTTCCTCTCGTCCCCCTTCCACCTCGTCATGTCACGTGTCCTTCTGGGTTCACCCAAAGGCCATGTTCTCACGTGCTCACTCTCACCGTTACTCGGCGATGCCCCTACAGCACCCCTTGTCACTGGGTACTGTGGCTTCCCTCGAGTGACATCTACTATGTCCTTAGGTTTTTTCGGTAAAGTCACGTAGGTAAAAACATTAAAAAGTAAAATAAAATAAAAATCACGACGTTTCGGAGGCAACACAAGCTTCCGTCTTCAGGTGGTACCGTCACAGCCACGACAGCTGTATCAAGTAAATGAGAGATTGCAGGAGCTACCACTCCGTTTATATAATGGTTGGAGAAGATGGTGGGGCAAGGGCCGCATACTTTTTATTAATATGGTAAGGTGAGGCTTAAGACTAAGAATAGACTGCATAGCAAAGGCTGAGCCTTTGTTATGGAGAGGTACGGTTTGTGACTCAACCTGTGACAGGGAGACAACCACTAAGCATGGTAAAACTGTAATAGTTGTCTGTCAAATAAGATTGGCAAATAAGTGTAGTTAAATCTTTTTTGCATGGTTAATCACATCTTTCCAATGATTACTCAGTTTGTAACCGTCATCACGGTTGAAATTATGTCTGTGTTTGTATATTTGTATGGCTTCGTGTACAAACCTTTGATGGTAGCCAGGAGGTTTGCAGAGAACCTTGGTCTCGGAAAAGACAATTTCATGAGAGCCCACCGAGTTGTAGCAATGATCGACAACGGCCGAAGAATCAGTTCTGCCGTGTTTCAGATCTGACTTGTGCTCGCGGACACGATCAGAAACATGACGTTTCGTTTCTCCAATGTAGCAATCACCACAAATGCAACTCAATTTGTAGACTCCAGGATACTGTAAGTCAGGAACGACATCCTTCACAGATGGAATCAAATCACGGATTTTATGCACTGTACTGAATCGGACTTGGATCTTATGTTTTTTTAGAATTTTGGAGATCTTTTTGGTCACGCCTGCTATGTATGGCAACGTGATGGTTTTGGTCGGAGTTTCATGTGGCTGTTTCTGTGTGGTGGGAGAAACAGCTTGGCGGATAGTGCGGTCAGAATATCCGTTCATCCTGAGGGCCCGATGTACATGTCTTAATTCAACGGCCAGGTGGTGTTGGTCAGAAATGCCATGGGCTCTGTGGTATAGCGTTTTGATGAGATAATTCTTTTGAGATGGGTGGTGGTGGGAATCCGGTTTCAAGTAGGATTCCCACCACCACACATTTTTGACATGCGTTTTTCTGGATTTTGTTGTTGTTATTCTGTCTCTCACTGTTCAAATAAACCTACCATTAAAATTATAGACTGATCATTTCTTTTTCAGTTGGCTAACGTACAAAATCAGCAGGGGATCAAATACTTTTTCCCTCACTGTACGTATATTGTCAGTAGACCCTCCATACGCAAGCGTACGCATTTGGGTAAACCCCCCTCCCCCCTCCATACTAAAAAGATGGCCCCAAAGCCCCGTCTCTCGCATAAATTGCGTTGCGACATCATTTTATGTCTGTTGAAGGCGAATGATACGGCAATCTATTCCTCTCGTCGAGCTCTACACTGTGCGCTAATAAAAGTTTCAAAGTTTTGTTTATGACTACTGCATTTTTGGAAACATGACAACAGAATAATCCACGCCAGGTGGGTCGCGGCATTTATGTGCGCGGTGGGACATAGTCACAAAAAATAAATAAAATAATTGTGATTTTGACTTCCGTTTATTCGGGACCCCGGGGTCCCGCCATAAGGTTAATATTCATAATGGGTCCTAAGTGTGGTCATAGTAAAGATAAAAGAACCCATAAGGTTCTAAATTTGCAAAAAAAGCTTGACATAATCAAACTTAATGAGCAAAGCTAAATAAAGGCTCTGCTTTGACATTCGTCCATTTTTGACATTCGTCCATGCTCTGGTCCCTAACCAGACGAAAGTGCAAGGTATTCCTGTATTTACCGCAGTATTATGATGGGCTGCACTTACGCCAAACTAGTACGCATTTTAACTACAATTTGGCATTGAAATGTTTTGTATTGCTTTCTGTTGTAACTTGCTGACCCGCCCATATTGGACATCCGTGAAATAGAACTTCATAGCTCATCGAATTCCTCCAGTCTAAATAAAGATTCTGATTAAATTTTAAGTCAAGTGCTGTAGCCACAGCGAAACATAAACTCAGATTCGAGAACATATGCTTGTTAGAAACCACATTAACTGTTAAGAAAAATGGGCTTATGCAGGGCATGTTCTGAGAAAAGGATAAGCCAACGGTCCAGACTAACAACGGAGTGGCAGACAAAGTATAAAAGACACCTGCAAATATGTACACTGTGAAGATGGAGCGATGAAATCAGCTCCTGTGCAGCAACTAGATGGATGTTGAATAGCATGACCGAAAAATATGGCGACGCCTTGGGGAGGCCTTTATCCAGCAATGGATTGATCTTCGCTGATACTATAATGGTAAAGGAATTTCTGAACAAGATTGGCCCATCCTCCCCATCATCATAATCACCACCAATAGTCGATAATATGAATACTGGATGGTGAGACTATGCAATATTTTTCTGCACGTCAGAAGTCACTTATACAGAGTGAATGTTCCCTGTCTTACAAAAGTAGAATTTCAACCACTGCCTCAGATGGGAGCTTTGACATGCGGTGCCAGCTGTGTGTCTGGCACAAAACACATTATCTGAACCACTGACTTTGAGCCAACATCAGGGGTATCAATATCGTCATCATTGGCCATGATCAATCCGTTTCCGTCGGAATTTCTCCCAGGAGAACCCCCCTCCCCGAGGGGACATACACAGTGGAAATAGAGTCAGCTCGAGTGCAGGTGCTGGATGGATTGTTACACAGCAACATCAAAGGTGCCCTGCCCAATAACCATGACACATTGCAGCATGGACTTTTTTTTACAATACTAATACACGTGTTGATGTTATTGTCAACTCCACACCTGTTTAGCCTCGAAACATGATTGATTTAAAAATCAATAAAATCGAGCCAAATTATCTAATGCACAGCAAGGTAATTTTTTATGACCATGCAAATACCTGGGAGTTTTGATGTAGGGTTCCAGCTGTGTGCAGCATTAAAACCCCGTGTATTTTTTTCAGTCTGTACTTCGGGGTGAAAACCCCATGCTGTGAAAGTTCTATGAAGATGCATCCTCCATTGCATGGTGTAGCTTGGGTGCTCCTGCTTCTCGCCACTCAGCAATGTGGTAAGAATGTCTTTTACAAGTGTTATTTGTTGACTAAGATAATTGTCGTGCACGTACAGCCTTTGTCCCTATCGACTGCTGCACGGGGTCTCCCCACGCCGCATAGATCATGGAGATTGTTTTCAAGCTTCCCATGGATCATTGTGTGCTGGTAAAAGGGAAGCATATAAGTACAACACAACAATGGATTTTGTTACACTGTCTACTGCTCAGTAGATAGCCCAAAGAATTATACCAAACAAACTTGTAATGAATTGTGATCGCACATTCGAGCACTATGGAGGCTCAACCTGCTCAACTTTCAGGATCTGTCACGAGCCACACTCCACAATGTGCGGATTGGCCAAAGCACCCTGAATGTGCACGATCTCGTCGGATGTCAGATGCTAAACGGGGTTGAGTCTGGTTAGTACTCTACGGTACTGGAAATGGAGACTGCTTGGGAATAGCAAGTGCTGGATAAGCTTGAGCTGCGATGTAGTCAGGAGCTGGCTTGAGTCGGCGAGGTAGTCAATATAGCATTACTGTTCTTCCACATCCTGTGTAGAACCTTAGCGTTCCACCACCCCAAGGGTAGGAGCGGTCTCCAGATTCTATGGTAACCTACCATAAGCCAAATATTCACTGATGAAATTGGCCAAATATCCCAATGCAAAACCTTCCTAAACAAAAGAGTTCAGAGGTTCAGTAACGTTTTCCTGGATAAAAGTGTAACATTAAAACATAACAATACTGTCATAATTCAGGCAGTGCATACTAACAACTAAAATTAGAGAAATAGACCTGTTACACCGGCCGATTCATGCAACTTATATAATGCAATTCATACTAAGTTATAATCATAGTAAAAACACTTAAGAGTGGTGCAGTATTTTGTGCACTGCACTTTGAGCCAGTTGTCAGAATTACAACTGAGGTCAGTGGGCAAGTGATATGAGGTGATCATTGGCTTTTCTTCTCCTTCATCGAACCTCCCGACAAGTGCATTGTGTTGCTGGGAGGTCTTCATCCGGCAATAAGGCAAAGGGCTGATATTTTATATTATGTAATTATTGCTTGAGTAGGCGACGAGCTTGTTGAATTGTAAAAAGTCTTCATCTGGATATCGACGAAATTATTCCCAATCATTGTTCTCCAGTAGTATTTGTGTCACTAAATACGACAACTGTGCGCCGGTTTTGATACTCCTCAGTATAATTTAGTTGTGACGTATTAATCAGTTTTATAATGTACAGTATGTGTGAAACAGACACCCAAAGATTTTAAAAAGAAAGCTGCCACGAATGTATGTTGCCTGTGAAATGTATGATTGCAATTTGTGTATATAAAATAAATCTTGTTGTCGATTACACTACAACACAGCACTTACAAAAGAATGTATAATGTATTATTTCTATTCCACAGCATACTCTAGGCAAGATAAATGGCACACAACTGGTAAGTTTTGGCATTGTGATAAAGACACAAAATGTATCCCACCGCATTAATCTTAATGTCTAACAAACAATACAGGAAAGCATTCATTCAAATGTAAGAACTATACAAATCAAGTGTGCATGTTATTAAAGCTAGCTTTGTATGATATATTTGGTTCAGAATTTATCAAGAGTGCTTTTTGTGAAGCACAAATAAAACATTGTGATCGGCTGATTTAACCGACTTGGCTTCATCTTTGACCCAACCAAAATGTGTTGACCATATCACATCCTGACAGTCTGAGTGCATGGTTTCTGATCATTATAAACTATAAATATACCCAATGTATATTGCTATACGAATTAATCAGCAAATGAAAATAAAGCTTGTGTAGATTACAGAACTTTCTTGACTTATTTGTAACGTATTGTTCTCTAGAAATCTCTCAGCAAGAAGAGAAATGGCACACAGCGGGTAAGTTATGGCGTTGATAGAGGCCCCCACGATGTATCCCGCAACATTAACCTCGAAGTCTAAAAACAATGCAGACTCATTTACGGGAGAGTACATTTGTATTTACTCCGTCGAAAACTCAAGTGCGAGTAACAGTCGTGTGGTGTGAATGTGGCTCCACACCCAATGAGATGTGGCTGAAGCGACCTGGTCACCAATGATAGCTCAACGAAGTGGCTAGTCACCCTAACTGCATGTTTCTAAATGTGGATTGAAAAAACAGAGAATCCGCAGAAAAATCCACGTGACCACTGGGAGAGAGACATGCAAACTCAAAATATACAGCAGGCATCAGGGTCTGGATTGAACCCACGACCTCCTGTATACTAGGCGAGGTAGTTCACATCTTGCTACCGGGGCACCACAATTCAATGCTAAATGCTACGAAATCCTGTTGTGGATTGAACATTAGCACATTTTGTAAAATATTAATTTGTAATGTATTAATTCTACTCCACAGAAAGCTCACGGCAAGAACAGAAATGGCACTCTGGTAAGTTTAGGCATTGTGAAAGAGGTATCCACAATTTATCCCACCGCATTTACCTCAACGTCTATAAAGAATACATAAACACATACGCAAGTATTTTCTACTTCAAAAACGTAGGTGTGTATGGCTTCTTTTAGTAATTAGGGGTGCAGGATGTAGTCTATTCAGAAGGTATCGCGAGTGTTTTGTAACTCTAATATTAAGTCATCTCCTCTCTATTTGAACCATTTGTTGTTGCTATACCATGCTCACTTGAGCAGATAGGAACTTTGGACACATAGATTCATCATTGTACTCGTCATCACATCCCATTGTCTACCTACTTCTAAATAAAGACCTCCCCATGCTGTCACCATCTCTCATTTCCCTGAGATGCCAACGTCCATCTCACTCCGGCCCGTGAGCTGATCTATTTGTTCTATATAAAAGCAATATGTATAAACTCATTATTGCGTGAGATCTGATGCAGTGAATGACAAATCAGGACCTGTGTTTTGCAGCCTATTGCGGCTCATACTCATGTATGAATGGAGGGATCTGTGCAAACGACTGGCACCACTGGCATTGGCATAGCCAGTGGCACTGGCACGAGAACTGGCATCAAGGCTACTATTGCTACTGCCCACCAGGCTTGTATGGCCCCTACTGTGAATACTACGGTAAGATTGGATGGTTTTTACTTTGGTAAATGTGTAATGACTGAAAAATTACCTCAAGCCAATATGCAGCCTAACGGCTATTTGAAAATAAACAAAGGTCTCGGATTGGTAGAAAGCGACCTCCACGGTGATTGCTCTGGAGGCAGACTTTTAAAGGGATTGGAGTAATAAAGTTTTAACTGGATTAAGCGGTAAAGAGAGAGGATCCAATCTAGATCTGAAGTTTTCGTGACTGCAATGATCCATACTCTTTGGTTCTTTCGGTAAAGTCATGTACCGAAATAACCAAAGAGTATGGAAAGAGGATCCGTTAGAGGGGAAGGACAGGGATTGGCTTGGGGGAAAAACAATAAAGTTCCAGAAAGGGGGCTCGAGGAATATAAAAGGGGAGAGCACAGGGAGTGGGGACGTTTGGAGGAGGTCATAAGCTTTAGACAAGAACAAAGCCTAGGGTCCCGCATTGTGGCTGTGTCCAAATAAAGTGGCTCTGATTGCAACGTTGTCTGAGTCGTTACAAATGGGTCCAGTGAAAAGCAGTTTTGCAAATGACCAGTTGCAGCCATTGCGTGCAAATGAACCTCAAAAATGGAATCAGTTGGAGTCAATGATCGCTAAACAAATGATAATAATCCATAATAGAGGTTTTTGGGTTAAAACGCGTGAATATATAAATGTGTCGTGAAAACCCGCCACCACCCAACACAGCCAACTAGTAAGGGTTGTCACGTAAACAGAACATGCCAATTCGTCACTAGTACAGCAAACCGGTGTGTTGGAGAGCCAAGCCACAACATTTACAAACTGAAAATGACGTTTCGCCAGTAATTACAACTAGTTTCTTCAGGCAACAGCCAGAGAAATCTCCAACACACCGGTGTGCTGTACTAGTGATGAATTAGCATGTTTTGTGTCTCACAATGTATTGTGGAAGTTAAGGAGAAAACTGTATGTGAATACATTAACATGGGGGTGGTGAAACAAGAAGCAGTTTGGTGATTCCAAAAAGGAATAACATCCGGATGTTTTTTTCCAGACGTATGCAACTCGTTCACATGTTCGAATGGAGGGATCTGTGCGAATCACTGGCACCCGTACTGGCACTCGGGCTGGGAATCAGGCTGGCACTCGGATTGGCATTGGCACTACTACCACGGCTATTATTGCTACTGCCCTCCCGGCTGGACTGGCCCCTACTGTGACCACTATGGTAAGGTTGTATGGTTTTACTTGGGTAAATGAATCCAGTGAGACCAATTTGTTCATGAATAGTTGGAGTTATTGCATGCAAATTAATTTCAAACGTAGAATCGGTTGGAGTCATTGGACTAAAACTAAATAATGTGAATATTTTCTCAGTCTACACAAGTCAACGCATTTTCAGATTTAAAACCCTCATAGTGATGTATGATGATGCCTGCCTGGCTATCAATGTACACCACTTCATGTATAAAATACAGAAACAGGAAAACAAACCTTGACTTAAAGCTTTCGTGACTGCAGGAAATTCATATTCTTTGGGTCTTTCGGCAAAGCCACGTAGATAGAAAAATAATACAAAATATTTTTTCCTGCCTCAGTAGCTCTCCCGCTAAATTTTCTCACCTGATGATTGCTTGTATTGCGACCGAAATGTCGTGATTTTTTATTTATTATTTTTCTATCTACGTGGCTTTACCAAAAGACCCAAAGAGTAGGAAAACAACCCTTAAATCTGACACCATCTTGTAATAAAAGGACTCGAACACTTCTTTCTGTCTTCGTGTCTTTATTCAGGTTCACGTCTTTACCCACACGGCACTCTGTTATAACTCCTGTATTTGTAGCCCCCGGCTATTCACTGCTATTATAGCTTCCTCACCCCTCTGACTCTCTGCTTCATCTACTGTAACCTCCCCCCTGCAGACTTGCTGCTACCCCTATGTGCAGACCCTCTGGCTGTCACTGTATGCAGACCCGCTGCCCACTCTCTCTGTGCAGCCCCGCTGCTGACTGCAGCCTCCTCGCTGCTTCGGGTCGGTCACCGCTGGCCAACGGTGCCGATCCTCGCTCCCCCCCGTGTTCGTGGCGATCTCGCCACACCCCGCTTCGCCCTTCGTGGCCTTCCTCTGTTCCTGGTTCCCCGTCACTCCCCCTGCTCTTCCGGTTCCCCTCCTTCTATACTCAACCCCTCTCCCCCCACGTGACCTAACTCCTCCCCCCCTGACGGCACCTCAGAAGGGCCGTTTACAACCGCATTACATCACCCTCCCCCCTAAAGAAAATCCAGCCGACCTCGGCTGAATTGCAACCTGAAAAGCAATGCGGGTGTAAAGGGCCAACACGCAAAAAGACACGAAGCATTGAAGAACATTATAACAATAACACAACACAACACAATCTAACGAAACGTGAGGGATTTCGAGCGAGTACGGGTAGCCGGGCCGTCCCGGACGGTCGGCGGCCCACCCGCCGAGCGGGAACGTGGAAGGGTTTTAGGGGCGACGGGCGCAAAATCTTCCGTCGCCATTGGAGGCCCGCCACTGTCCCGCTCGCGTCCAGAAACATCCCGTACTCGCGTCCGCGGAGGGATAGGAAGAGCTGCAGGTCCCGTGGGTTCTGCGGCTCCGGTCGGCGTCCCACAAGCGGAAGGTCCTCCTCCCTGCGCTGTCACGGCCGGCTTGTCTGTGCCGGAGGGTCTTTCTTTGGGACGTCCGCGATCGAGGCCTCCTGCTGGGGCGGCCCCGGAACCCGGGCCCAGCAGTCCCTGGCATAGTGGCCCCGACGGCCGCAGCAGAAACAGTCGACGTCGGGTCGGCGCGCAGCAGGCACCCCGTCCCGACGTGGCCGTGCCGGCGGCGGAGCCCGCGGCCCCGGCTCGCTTCGAGCCGGCCACGGAGTGGAGGCGGCCGACAGCTCCTTTGGGCCGGTCGCATCCGGCACGTACACGGCCTTTGTAGGGTCCCACCCTACGGCCCCCCCATCGACGACAGGACCGCCCGTCCACGCCGTGACTTGTTTCCAGTGGCGGAGATTGAACTGGGCGTCCAAACACTTAGCCGCGGTCCGGGACGTGAGTTTCTCGTGACCGCAAGCCGGCATAGGAATGCCCAGATCCCGGGATAACTCCAACATCTTCCCCAAGATGAGAGGTTCCAGCAGGTCAGGCTCCGTCTCCGGGTAAGCGGCCATCGCGAGTTCCAGCACGGCGCCCCTGTACGCTACAGGCGACTCCTCCGGTGCGCGTTGCCGCTGCACGAAGCGGCGATGGGCGTCATCCGGTGGCTCGTACGCGTCCGCCATTTCGTCGAACACTCCACGCAATGTTTTCTTCTTCGCAGCTTTTATAGAGCGAAAAAAACGAACAGACTCATCGTCAAGGAGAGTCGGAAGCACCTCCAGCGCCTCGGCGTCCGTCCACCTTGCCGTTCGTACCGCCGCCAAAAATCGACAAGCGAACGCACTCCAATCGCCCCCGATGGAGAACTCCTTAACAGTTGTAAGGTGACGACTGCGGCTCCTTGGCCTGCTTCCGTCCGTCACCGACTCTTCCGGCGGCAAGTTCAGCAAGGCGTCGCAACGCGGTGTCGCCAAGATGGCGGACGATCTTCGTGGCGGCCCCAAGATGGCGGCTTCCCGCCTTCCGTGGTGCGCCACGCCCAAGATGGCGTCTTCACGCCGCGTGGTCGATGGCGGCGCCATCGAAGACGACCCGGGCTCCTGCCGATCACCACCATCACCTTCCAACGCCGCCCTTGGCGTGACAAGGTCACACAACTCCGTGATGACGGTTTTTAGGGTCGCCAGTTGCTCCGCCATCCGGGTCCATCTTAAATCTTCGTCCTTCAACGCAGATGGGTCGGGCGCAGCGGCAACCTCCTCCACACCCGGGCCCTCACGGATCTCTCCCTCCGCCGAAGTGAAGCCGACCTCAGGAGGAAGATCGTCGTCGTCCGATGATGAAGCCGACGCCGGAGATGGGATATTCTTCTTCCTCAGTTGTTTCGCCATGCCGTTTCACTTCTGACTCCAGTGTAATAAAAGGACTCGAACACTTCTTTCTGTCTTCGTGTCTTTATTCAGGTTCACGTCTTTACCCACACGGCACTCTGTTATAACTCCTGTATTTGTAGCCCCCGGCTATTCACTGCTATTATAGCTTCCTCACCCCTCTGACTCTCTGCTTCATCTACTGTAACCTCCCCCCTGCAGACTTGCTGCTACCCCTATGTGCAGACCCTCTGGCTGTCACTGTATGCAGACCCGCTGCCCACTCTCTCTGTGCAGCCCCGCTGCTGACTGCAGCCTCCTCGCTGCTTCGGGTCGGTCACCGCTGGCCAACGGTGCCGATCCTCGCTCCCCCCCGTGTTCGTGGCGATCTCGCCACACCCCGCTTCGCCCTTCGTGGCCTTCCTCTGTTCCTGGTTCCCCGTCACTCCCCCTGCTCTTCCGGTTCCCCTCCTTCTATACTCAACCCCTCTCCCCCCACGTGACCTAACTCCTCCCCCCCTGACGGCACCTCAGAAGGGCCGTTTACAACCGCATTACAATCTTGTTAAAAAAATGTTGTGCATGTCTCTATTATACGGCAGTTTTCCCGTCATTTTGCAGTGAACACCCTCCACCCAGCCACATCTTAATTATGTAATTCCATACAGGAAAAGCCTTATAACTAATATTATCATTGGCTGAGTTTATTAGTTGACGATCAGGTTTGTGTCACCCCAATCAATAATTGTTTTCAAGTCAGTTATGATTGATAGGGAAGTGTATTTGCATTGGGCTGCAAATTGTCTAAAAGTGTCAGTTTGTAATTCAAAATAATACAATGCATAAAATGTACTCTTATCAGCTAAGTAATCGATCATATTGTGAGTGGAAATAGTAAGTTGGAGACTAAGCAGCCTTGTGTATGGTGAAATATCAAATAACTACCAAATACTGCGTATGTAATTTATCAGCCAGAAAGATTAAAATCAAAGTTTGCAGATTAGTGGACTGCAAAACATGGTAGCTTAGCAAATAATGAACGATACGAGACATGATAAAATGGTTTATAAATGTCAAGGACGAGAATCTCTCTCCAAAATGTGCAGGACTTGAACTCCAAATATGAGTCATAAGCAAGCAGGTCACCTGTAGAGCATACTTGGGGAAATCCATACTGATGATCCCTTAGATGATGATCACTATGATCTATAGTGCAACTGGAGTGTCAGTATTGTTATTTGTTTCTACTTTTATTATTTCTGTCGTGTTTTTTTTTTATACTTGAGTTTTTTTTTCTTAATATACAGCTCTTTGAGATATTTTGATATGAAATGTGCTTTATGAAATGAATATTATTATTCAATCTTAATTTTGGAGCTTTCGTGAGTGCAGGAATTATTCTTTGGTTCTTTCGGTAAAGTCACGTATAAAGATAAAATAATAAATTAAATAATAGCATACTACGACGTTTCGATTGCAACACAAGCAATCATCATCAGGTATAAAAGAAATAGCAACACAAATCTAACCAGAAAACTATAGACAGACATATAAGCAGACAGATATCTCAAAGACACACAGAGACGTTTGGAATTTTCACACTTAAATTCTAACTTAGCAATCTTTGAAATACGTAATCAACCAGGCTATGCGTTAATTGTGTATTGACCGACTCTCTGTGTTGCATTACATTACATTTCGATATTTTGCTAGGTTATTTAATTTTAGTATGTCTTTCTCCTAATTTTCAAGCTTGCGTACCGTACCACGTCGTCGTCAACTCATTGACATGCTAATTTATTATCTGCCCCCTCCCTCTCTCCGCCCCCGCCCCCTCTCTATATTTAAGGCCGCGTCACAGAGACGATCTCTCTCTTTGTGCCGATACGTGTTCTCTCTCTGTGTATCTTTGTGATATCTGTCTGCTTATATGTCTGTCTATAGTTTTCTGGTTAGATTTTTGTTGCTATTTCTTTTATACCTGATGATGATTGCTTGTGTTGCAATCGAAACGTCGTAGTATGCTATTATTTAATTTATTATTTTATCTTTATACGTGACTTTACCGAAAGAACCAAAGAAATATTATTATTATTATACAGTGCAGACTCGGAGACCATCACATCCATCACTGACCATGTCTGTGAAATGTTTAATTCCCAGATTATTCAACGTCGACACCAAGCACAGGTTAGCTAAGATTATTAACCCTAACATCTACAAACAATACATGTGCCGGTTTTTTTTTTACCTCAAAAGTATTTTTTTTCAACTCGGGATATATGATGAATTTGGTTTAGACCGTATTAAGAGTGTTTTTTTTGAGGAGCAAGTAGAAAATTGTGATAGTAATTGAACCAACATGGCTTCGTCAAAATGTTACCCAACCAAGATTTATTTATCTGATCACCTTTAAAAATGGAACATTTCCCTCTTCCATAAACTAATACAAAATTGTTAACCTTGTATTTTTGTTCATATCTTCCTATTAATGATATCGCCTGGTGAAAAACCTACCCAAGGATATGGAAAGATGTGTCTCACAATGTATTCGGGTGTTGTGCTTGTTGGTTTGAAACAATGTTAACATAAAACTGTGCGATGAATAGACCATAAATTTCAGGACATTGTGGAAATTAGGGAGAAAACTGTATGTGAATACATTAACATGGGGGTGGTGAAACAAGAAGGAGTTTGGTGATTCCAAAAAGGAATAACATCCGGATGTTTTTTTTCCAGACGTATGCAACTCGTTCACATGTTCGAATGGAGGGATCTGTGCGAATCACTGGCACCCGTACTGGCACTCGGGATGGCACTCGGGCTGGGAATCAGGCTGGCACTCGGCTTGGCATTGGCACTACAGCAACGGCTATTATTGCTACTGCCCTCCCGGCTGGACTGGCCCCTACTGTGACCACTATGGTAAGGTTGTATGGTTTTACTTGGGTAAATGAATCCAGTGAGACCTATTTGTTCAGTAATAGTTGGAGTTATTGCATGCAAATGTATGTCAAACGTGGAATCGGTTGGAGTCATTTGACTCAAACTAAATCAAGTGAATATTTTCTCAGTCTACACAAGTCAACGAATTTTCAGATTTAAAACCCTGATAGTGATGTATGATGATGCCTGCCTGGCTATCAATGTACACCACTCCATGTAGAACATACAAAAACAGAAAAACAAACCTTGAATCTGACACAATCTTGTTAAAACATGTTTGTGTATGTCTCTATCATATGGCAGTTTTCCCGTCATTCTGCAGTGAACACCCTCCACCCAGCCACATTTTAATGATGTAATTCCATACAGGAAAAGCCTCATAACTAATATTATCATTGGCTGAGTTTTTTAGTTGACGATCAGGTTTTCGTCACCCCAATCAATAATTGTTTTCAAGTCAGCTGTGGTTGAAAGTGAAGTGTATTCGCGTTGGGCCGCTAATTGTCCGTCACTTTCAGCTTGCAATTTAAAAGAATGATGCACAAATTGTACTTTTATTAGCTAGGAAATGTATCATATTATGAATGTAAATAATAAGCCAAGAATAAATCAAGTCGGAGCTGCAGTAGTGGAGCTCCAGCAGCAGTCGTGGACTCCTCACTTTCGCATGCTCCTCGCTCGCTGATTGCAGATCAATCTTGCCAGTTTGACTGCCTTAAATATTGTATAGAGCTAGTATGAACCAATGCCACCCAGCATCTGAGTATTCAAGCATACCAAACCCTCCAATTGACTAATCAAATAACTGGGTTAAATTTTTTTTTATAACAGATGCAGTAAACTATGAGGGTCTGCAACCTCAGTCACATTCTGCTCCATCAAACCAGTTTATCCTGGATTTACAGTATGCCTGGTGAGCTTAAAGACTATATATCCCACAGGTTTAAATTATCTGGACAAAGCTCAGTCCTTTTCAAAATGTATTGGTATAGACAGGCAGCCTGCTGATTGTATTACCATATAGCAGGGTTTCTCAAACTGCAGTCCTTGTGACCCACCACGCTTCGTCTTTCTGCGTTTACTAATTTACTCCCTAATCAAATTAACTCGTTTCACACAGCACGTGCCAGATGATTGTTAAACATGTTCCACGCTTCACGCTAAGCAATTAACGCCGCCTGCGGCACGTGGAAACACGTGCACACACACACTGGGACGCCTGGAGATTCAGAAACTCTGCCATAAAGTGCCACCTTATATTGTCTATTACGCATGACGATGTCTTGTGTGAGCCACCAACCCTACCTGTAAAGTGCTGGCTGAGAAGTCAACAGACCTGGATATCTTTCTGTTGCCTTTCCATCAGTGATAACGTGTGATTTTTTTTTTAATTCCCAGAATATTCTTTGTCGACACCAAGCCCAGGTGAGCTATATTTATATTGTGCATGCACATTTGTTGGCATATGAGTTCATATTTGAAGCGAACACTGCTAGATGAAGGCCTCCCCACACTGTCTGTCCTGGGGGTTATGTCCACCTTATAACAATAATCATTTAATTATTCATCTGTAAAAGCCACAGGAAGTCGTAGGATACTTGACTCAGTAAGGTCCTGCAATATTGGGTTTTTATTTTAAGAGATTTTCAGTTAATTAAATGATTTGCGTTCATACAAGTGGGATAAAATCGGAGGACCTGCAGAAAACCCACACGTGCGAGGGGGCAACACGATGTCCGTACAAATGGAAACAGCGATTCGTCCACTTGCTGTTTTGCTTTCTCCTAGCGAGCCACAGTATGACACATTGACACCCACGGAAAGGGAGTTTCACAACATTTGTGTGATCCACCAAACTTGCCTTCACAATGCTGAATCACAGGCGTGTGTAGATAATCACCACCCAATATTTGCATAAGGACAGTTTAATTTCGTTATTTTTTGCTATACGTTCTACAGATAAGTGTCAACCGAATCCGTGTCTCAACGGTGGGACCTGTGTGGATTACGGGTCTTGGCATCCTGAAAACATCCATTGCTACTGCTATGGAGGTTATTGGGGCGACATCTGCCAATACTATGGTAAGTGGACTTTACCTGCAGGCCTGCAAAACTACATTCAGTATTTGTGTAGTGACATAGCGCCGGTAACTGCGGTGGACAGTTAGCGCACACGCCGTTGAGCAATTCCACGGGTGTGCCAGCAGGGCAGAGGAACTGGGGCTAGGGTCACGGAAGACCTCATCGGGAAGCCCCTGGAACCCGCTGATTATATCGTTGCTGAGGATATCAGTTTATAATACAGTATTAACTTTGAAGTAGACATGCACTTTGACTATAAAGGCTTTAGGAATCAAATGAATATGAATGTACATGATTTCATCGCTTTGTCTCCATGGTAAACGTTCACTCAGACGTATACCATTCATTGACTGGCACTTAATTATTATGGCTGCCAAATCCCACTTTTCGAAACGGCTGAATGATATTAATCTACATACGTTCTCTAACGCTTTCTTCTTTCTGTCAGTGTAATTCCAAGCATGCAATTCTCCATACTTTTTTAACAATTTTTATATTTTGTTCTATTTACTTATTTAGGAATATCACATACTACTTTACAGCATAAACTCTCCAAACGTACTCCAAATTGCTTTTGTCTGTATCTATCTAATAATTTATATTTCTCCAAATACAAGTCACAAGCAAACAGGTCACTTGTAGAGTGTGCTTGGTAGAATCAATACTGATGATCACGAATATGATGATTACTATGATTTATAGTGCAAGTTGTTAGTATTGTTATTTGTTTCAGCATGTATATTTCCTGTTGGATTTTTTTTACACTTGTGAGTTGTTTATGTCTCTATTAATGTACAGTTGTTTGAGATGTTTCGATATCATCGGTGATTTTTAACATAAAAATTATAAAGTGCTGGCTCAGAGGCCACCACACCCAGTGATCTCCCTGCTGCCTTTCCATCAATGACCATGTTTGAAATGTTTAATTCCCAGATTATTCATGGTCGACACCAAGCACAGGTGAGCTAAGCTTATATCACGTTATCCTTAACACCCACAAAGTACATAAACATAGATATGTATGTAACTACCTGGCAAATTAAATGTGTATGTTTTAGTTCACTTGTTATGCAGAATATATTTGGTTAAAAGAGTGCTTGTTATGAAGAGCAAAACAAACTGTATGGCTGGTTAAACCAACATGGCTTCATCAGAATGTGACCCAACCAAGATTTATTGATGTCATCACCTTCAACTACAGCTAATCGCAGGGTACCTGTTTATTTGGAAACTGTTAACATTGTCCCCTCCCTCCTCTGAGCTTTCCCGGGGCGTTGCACTTTCGTCTGCTTTCCTCAGCCAATCCTGTACTCGCTCGCGGACCACGTCATCCACGTGATGAGTTACCAGTTACGTAATGAACGCGGATTGCTTCTCGGCATCTTCTACGCGTGCAGTGGAAATCATTTAAATAGAAAAATAGGTAAAACTAGTTTTTCAATACACACACTTTAATTTGCACTTCAAAGTAGAAAACACATTATTTTGTTCCCAGGATAAATCAAATTTGATGCGTTGAATAAAAGTGGGTGGTTTGCCTTACCAACACTTACTTCACCTGGAATGGTACTTTCTACAAACAAAATGAAGGTACCCCTATGGGTTCCCCCCTTATCACCAGTGATAGTTAATGTTTTCATGGAGAAATTTGAAACAGATGCCATCCAGATATCCACCCTACGTCCTTCCTTGTGGAAGAGATATGTAGATGACACTTTTGTCATTTGGCCACATGGCCTGCCAGCATTGAACCAATTTTTCAACCACATCAATTCCATACACCCATCCATCAAATTCACAGATCAAATCCATCACATTGTTAGTTTTTTTTTGGTAAAGTCACGAAGTTAAAATATTTTTTTAAATTAATAAAAGTAAAATAAAATAAAAATCACGACGTTTCGGAGGCAACACAAGCTTCCGTCTTCAGGTGGAACCGCCACAGCCACGACAGCTGTATCAAGCAAATGAGAGATTACAAGAGCTACCACTCCGTATATATAAAGGTTGAAGAGAGGAAGGGCCAAGTACGGCACACTCTTTATTAATATGGTAAGGTGAGGCTTACGACTAAGAATAGACTGCATAACAAAAGACTGAGCCTTTGTTATGGAGAGGTGCGGTTTGTGATTACACCTAGCCTACATAACAAAAGTGTGAAAAAAGAAAAAACTAAACCTGGTAAAACAAAACTGGCTGTCTATCAATAACCTGTAATAGTTGTCTGTCAAATAAGATGGTCCAAATAAGTGTAGTTAAATCTTTTTTGCATGGTTAATCACATCTTTCCAATGATTACTCAATTTGTAACCATCATCATGGTTGAATTGAATCTTAAATTGTCACATGAGACGAGTTTGTGTAGAAAATTTCAGCTCGTTAGCCTTGGTAGATCCGAATATATTAAACGTCAAAGCTTTGAAAGAATATAAACAGACAACAGGGCAGGTTAAATATAAAATGTGTACAAATACAGCACACAGACTTTCAATGAAATGTAATAAATGTGCATCACACATCACTGAAGTCAAACGACCTCAAAATATAGGACTTTGTTAAGGACTATTTCCTCTCAAGATGGCAGATTACATTGTTTTTATGAGCATGGCCATTTAGCATCACACAAGGAGTTCACAAAGTATTCTTTGTTTTTTTCGGTAAAGTCACGTATAAAAATAAAATAATATAATTAAATAATAGCATACGACGTTTCTATTGCAACACAAGCAATCATCATCAGGTATAATGAAATAGCGACATAGAATATAACCAGAAAACTATAGACAGACATATAAGCAGACAGATATCACCAAGATACACAGAGAGAGCAACCCAGGTACAGAGAGAGGTGATCGTCTCTGTGGGGTGGCCTTAAATAGACAGAGGGGGGCGGAGGCAGAGAGAGGGAGGGGGTAGGGAAAACATTTACATGTCAATGAGTACGAAGGGAGGGGAGTAAGGTAAGCAGGCTTAGAGGGAGACAGAACACACTAAATTAAATAACCTAGCAAAGTATCGAAATGTTATGTAAAACGACACAGAGAGTCGGTCAACACACAATTAACGCATTGCCTGGTCGATTACGTATTTCAAAGATTGCTAAGTTAGAATTTAAGTGTGAAAATTCCAAAGAAAGACTAAACATAAAAAAGAGGAACGGAGACACACAGACAGAGCAGAACCTAAGAACGATACAAAACGAGTGTAATTGTGTGTTGACCGACTCTCTGTGTCGTTTTACATAACATTTCGATACTTTGCTAGGTTATTTAATTTAGTGTGTTCTGTCTCCCTCTAAGCCTGCTTACCTTACTCCCCTCCCTTCGTACTCATTGACATGTAAATGTTTTCCCTACCCCCTCCCTCTCTCTGCCTCCGCCCCCCTCTGTCTATTTAAGGCCACCCCACAGAGACGATCACCTCTCTCTGTACCTGGGTTGCTCTCTCTGTGTATCTTGGTGATATCTGTCTGCTTATATGTCTGTCTATAGTTTTCTGGTTATATTCTATGTCGCTATTTCATTATACCTGATGATGATTGCTTGTGTTGCAATAGAAACGTCGTATGCTATTATTTAATTATATTATTTTATTTTTATACGTGACTTTACCGAAAAAAACAAAGAATAATTCCTGCAGTCACGAAAGCTCCAAAATTAAGATTGAGTTCACAAAGGACAAATAGATGGACTCGTCGTCGTCGGCTGGTTCTTTACTTGCGAAGATCAGGGAGGATATATGAGATTAATGTAGTTGATAGGCACGCTGGTGGCTGTACAGGCCGGTCCTTGATTTGCATATTTTGTGGCAGGTGGTTCATTTGAACTACTAACCAGTCGGGGCCAGAGTGGGGGACGTGTCCATGGTGGTAGTCTTTCTGTGCCTCCGTTTTTCTGTTGAAGCTTTGTGCCTCGTGCGGTCTGCAATTTTAGCTGTTTATTTGGCTGTGGAGCGCCAGCGGTCTTTCTCAACGGCCCTGAGCTCCCAGGTTCGGGAATCGATACCTACAACAGTCAGTTGCTGTTTGAGCTGGTCCATGAAGCGTCTTCGAGGTCCACTCCTGTCTCCCTTCCCATGACACAACTTGTTGTAGATGACCGCTTAGGGCATCCTGTTGTCCTCCATGCATGAGACGTGGCCAGCCCAGCGTAGCTGATGAAGAAGCAGGATGGATTCAATGCTGGGTGTTTGAGCTCTCTCCAAGACTGTTGTTTGTGACATAGTCCTGCCATCTGACGTACGTGATAGAGGGCAGGCAGCGCTGGTGGAAACGCTCCAGCAGCCTCAGCTGTTTCCTGTACAGGACCCAGGATTCTGAGCTGTATAGAAGGGTGGTTACTACAACTGCCCTTTATACCTGTATCTTTGTTGTGAGACGAAGTGAGTAGCTCTGCCAGACACGCTTGTGGAACCTGCCAAAGGAGCAGTTTGCCTTGGCAAGTCTGTTGTCAATGTCCTTCGTGATGAATGAGTTGTTGGATATTATGCTGCCCAGGTATGTTAACTGTTCCACTGCGTTGAGATGGGTGTTGTCGATGGCGATTGATGGTGTGGTGTACACTCCACAAGATGGGGGCTGGAATAACACCTCTGTTTTCTTGAGAATGATGGTCAGGCCAAAAGCATTAGCCGCATCAGAGAAACAGTTCACAATGAGCTCTAGGGCCTTCTCCATGTGTGCAAGAAGTGCGCAGTCATCTGAAAATAGCAGTTCCAGAACATGTTGCTCTGTGGTTTTGGTCTTGGCAAAGAGACGCCGAAGATTGAAGAGACTGCCATCGGTCCGGAATCGGATGTAGACGCCTTCTGTCAGCCCCTCATTGGCCTTCTGGAACATCAGGCTGAAGAATATGGCGATGAGTGTAGGTGCCAGCACGCAACCTTGCTTGACCCCATTGTTGATGGGGAAGCTGTCTGAGAGGCTTACGTTGTGTTTGACCTGGCCTTTCTGTCTGACGTGTAGTTGCTGCACGATGGTACGGAACCGGGGAGGGCAGTCCAGTTTTGACGGTATTCTCCAGAGACCATCACGACCGACTGTGTCAAAAGCCTTGTTCAGGTCAATGAATGCAGCATAGAGGCCCATGTTCAGTTCGCTGTACTTTTCTTGTAATTGTCTCAGAACAAAAACCATATCTGCCATTCCCCTCCTTGACCTGAAGCCACACTGGCTTTCAGGAAGGACTTCTTTGGCAATGGTGGACATCTAATCTGTCGAGTCGGACCATGGACAGAATTTTGTCTGCGATACAGAGCAATGTGATTCCACAGTAATTGGAGCAATCAGATTACACCCCCTTGTTCTTATATTGGGAGACAATTACTCAATCCCAGAGATCTTGGCGTATTGCTCCCTTCTCCCTGCAAAATGAGAAAAGGTCTGTGAGGCTGTCCAGAAGTCCATCTCCTCTCTCCTTGTACACTTCGGCTGGGATCCCATCGATACCAGGTGCCTTGTGTGATTTAAGTTTCTTGATGGCAGATACAATATCTGCCCGTGTTGGTGGTGTGCCCAGTTCAGTCCTCACTTCGCGCTGTTAGATCTTGGCTATGGATGCTTCTTGGACTGTCTGCTTGTCTACAAAGAGACCGCTAAAGTGTTCTGACCATCGATGCATGATAGCTTCCTTGTCTGTCACAAGGGTTGTGCCATCTGATGATCTTATGGGGGACTGTGTCCGGTGCGAGGGTCCATACACTGAGCATAGGGCTTCATAGAATGCTCTTGTATCCTCCATGTCTGCATATAGCTGTGTCTTTTCTGCGAGGTCTATTCACCAGTTGATTTTGAGGACTCTCAGCTTTCTTTGCAAGGTTTTGCACGCAGCGCTTGATGCAGCTTTTGTACGCAGCACTGTATGCAGCTTTTGTGACTTGGTAATTGGGACAAGAAGGTAGTCTGGAATGACAGGACCGTTTCGTCTGGAGGAGTGATTCAATTTCCGGATCATTCTCATCGAACCATTCTTTGTGTTTCCCTATTGAGAAGTCAACCACCTCCGCAGCTGTGTCCTGAAGAGCTGTTTTAGATGTTTCCACTGCTCTTCAGGGTCTGCATCCATGCCTGGGTCTTGATGTTCACTGAAACTGGTCTTAAGCTTATTCTGGAATTTCTGCCTTAACAGGGGAAGCTTCTCTTCTTGGAGCTTCTTGGGGTGAAGACCTTTATTATTGGGTGGTGGTTTGATCCTGAGGGTGACTTTTGCTCTGACCAATCTGTGGTCTGCATAGCAGTCAGTGCTGGGCATAACTCTGGTGTGTAGTATGTTCCTTGCATCCTCTTGGCATACAAGGATGTAATCCAGTAGATGCCAATACTTGGAGCATGGGTGTCTCCACGTGGGGTTATATCTGGATTTTGTTTGAACAATGTGTTTGTTATGCAAATGTTGTGTTCGGCACAGAGCTCCAGTAGCATACGACCATTGTAGTAGCAGTTGCCAAGCCCATGCTTTCCAATGGCTCCCCTCCAGAGGTCATGGTTCTGACCAATTCTTGCATTGAAGTCTCCCATCACAAGAAGCTTGTCTTTGTGGTCAACCTCCCGGAGAAGAGTTCTGAGGTCATGATGAAATTATTCCTTTACATCTTGATCAGCCTGTAAGGTTGGTGCATAAACACTGATGATTATGTTCTCATTCTATGTGACTTTACTGAAAAAACTGAAGAGTAATTCCTGCAGTAACAAAAGCTCCAAATCAAATTTGACTGATTATGGTGTCAAATTGGTTACCCTGGATGGGTAGCCGTAGAGACATCAGGCCAATTGAAAGGCTCAAGAGCTTTCCAGCGGTGGTGCTCTTCATCATGAGGCCAATGCCTGAAAGGCGTCTCTCCTTGTTGGCTTTCCCTGACCAGAACCGGGTGTAGCTCATCACGTGCTCAGTCAGGGATCCCTGCTCTGCGAAGCCAACTTTGCAGTGTGCTGCGATGTCAATGTCAAGTTTCACAAGCTCCCTTGTCACGAGAGCCGAGCATCTTTGTCGTCGGTTGTTTTTATCTGAGTCTATCGTTGTGCCAACTTTCCAGCATTCAAATTTTGAGAAGTTTGGTTTCTTTCTTTCTTTCTGACAACGTAAAGAGATGCCCGTTGGCTGCAGTAAGCCAACCGGGTGAGTTGAGGCAAGCTTTGTTTAGGCCACCTTTTCTCGGCCTCTCTCCATCAGGAGCAAGCAGTGCTGTCCATTGAAAAGGCTGCTTGGTCGCTCAGGGTGCTGCCGGATGATGTTGTTGCCTCTAGTCAACAGTCAAACGACCAATACAGACGAGCGGCCTACATGCAAGTTCAACGCTGTGGATGCCAGTGCAATATATGTGTAGTGAGTTCAACTGAGTCGCAGACATAGACTTGGAGGCAACACATTTATTCAACTCCAACACACGGGGTAACTTTCCCCTTAACAGAATAGCAACCTATGTTGGTGACTACCAGGTTAACTATACTAATTACAACGTAACTGCTACTACGGACCGGGACCAACAGCTTGGGTCCAGGTCCACGTGTTGAAAACTCGTTGAATAGAGAAGGTAGGTGAAGGTTTATTCCAGGATGAACAACAACCCTGGTCCCTCTCGGGACCTGGCTTATATTCTCTGCAGCGTGGCTGGCTCTGCCCTTGGCCACGACCACCTTCCAGAATCCTCAGGAAGGATTGGGAACCCAACCACGTGACCACCCCTAGCCCCCACTTGGGGCCCCTTTGTAGACTTAACTGGTTACGTGTCCTCCCGGGTCAACCAGAGTGCCATGGCCTTTAGTAACCTCACCCTTCGGCCGGCACTCAAACACCATGTCCTGTAGGGTTGGCACTGCACGTCAAGCATGGTGCCATCCAGCGCTATCAATGAGCGCTCAACGGGCCTCTCTAGGGCTGGTACTACACCCACACCACTGTGGTATCCACGATGTTGTTACACCGCACGCCGTGCCTCTCTAGGGCCGGCTCTGCACGTCAGAGGTCGCAAACGGGTTTTGATTCCTTACCCGTACCCATATCCGGCCGCACCAGGCTCGCAAACGGGTACCCGATACCCATACCCTACCCGTACCCGGCCGGGTACGGGTATCGGGTATCTGATTGCGACCTCTGGGATGAAGCCATGTTGCAGGCGCGGGTGGGTTGATTCTAGGAACTTGAATTGTGAGAAGAGACAAGACGTTGGGAAATGAGTGACAAATGGTTACTCACCAGTGACTCACGGTCTACCCGTACCCGGCCGCACCAGGGTCGCAAACGGGTACCCGTACCCGTATCGGGTAGGGTACGGGTATCGGGTACCCGGTTGCGACCTCTGCTGCACGTTGACATCCCGCGATGTCACTACATCTGTACACCGTCGATTATCTGGCGGCTTCGGGGGAAAGGATGCACCAGGATTTTTTTAAACGCCGCATAATCACATTATTTAAAATACCTTATTTTTTCATATGCCTGCATAACATGTTTTATGGTGTTGTCTTTTTTGTGTTTTACATGTGTTTACTATTGAAATTTGCATGAGTGAACATCCATAATATAGTTTTTTTGGGTTAGGTCGCGTAAATATAAATGTGTCATTAAACCCACCACCACCCAAAACAGCCAATTAGTTAGGTTTGTCACATAAACAAAACATGCCAATTCATTACTAAATTTTGATTTAAAGCTTTCGTGACTGCAGGGATTCATCTTCTTGGTTATTCTACGTGACTTTACCGAAAGAACCAAGAAGATGAATTCATTACTAGTACAACACACCGGTATGCTGGAGAGAAAATCCACAACCTTTACAATCTGATTACGACGTTGCGCCAGTAATTACAACTAGCTTCACAAAGCGACAGCCAGATTTGTGGAGAAATCCTGTTTCATCACTTAGAGGGAAAGATGTGATTACGTCACTTATGAGCCCTTCTTGTGCGAAGGGGGGGGGGAGATTAATTAATTCATAAATGACAATGGTTAGCAATTGCCGGTTGGGTTATTCATATGGTAATCAACGTACATTATGAATGAACATTATGCATGCACATTGTTCTTGTACCTCCTGTAATTTGCGTGCAATAAAATAGCAGTACCTGTTATTGTCTGTGTACAGGTAATCCACATTTATGTATGGTGACCTGCATGCATATAAGCAATGTATTATTCGATGATTCGCTTCCAAGCAGCACTAAGCCTGTAGCTATCCGAACGGTTAAAATTATTTTTATTTCTCTCAATTTCGATAGATGCTCGCGCATTGTTAACCCAAAAAACCTATATTATGGATGATATTGGTCGCTAAAGCCTACGTGTTAAACAAAGACCACAATAAATATCCTACTTTCAAAAAGTTACCGTATTTACTTTACCGTATTTAACGACTCCAATATTGCAGAGTGCAACATGTGTTTGACGATCGTTGATGAAGTCTTTTAGACCAGCGAACGCCGAATTATACAAAACTTTCGCCGGATCGCACTGTATTTTATATTTTTATCTCTGTAGTTATTAGTAATGAAAATGTATATATGTGCAATGTTTTCATTGTTTAAGTTGTATCTATGTAGTGTATAATGACCTGTATATAATTTTGGCACTGAAATCAAGCCTGTTGGAAGCCGGATAATTGTGCACAGGATAACTCTACAGTATTTAGAAATTGCACATGACTACGTGACTTTACCGAAAGAACCAAGAAGATGAATCCCTGCAGTCACGAAAGCTTTAAATCGAAATGTTAACCTTGTATTTGTGTTCGTATCTTCTTATTATATTGATAGCATTGCCTGGTGAAGAACCTACCCAAGGATATAGAAAAGATGTATCTCCAATATTTTCGGGTGTGTGATTGTTGGTTTGAAACAATCTTACTGATCGTGTGATCTATATGCCATGCATTGCAGGACATTGTGCAAGTTAAGGAGAAAACTGTATGCGAAACATTAAAATGGAGGTGGTGAAACAAGGAAGGCGTTTGATGATTCCAAAAATGAATAACAGGATCTTTTCTTGCAGACGTATGCAACTCGTTCACATGTTCGAATGGAGGGATCTGTGCGAATCACTGGCACCCGTACTGGCACTCTGGCTGGGAATCGGGCTGGGAATTGGATTGGCACTGGCATTGGCACCCACAATGGCATTGGCACTACAACAACGGCTATTATTGCTACTGCCCTCCCGGCTGGACTGGACCCTACTGTGACCACTACGGTGAGGTCGTATGGTTTTTACTTGGGAAAAGGGATCCAGTGAGACCAATTTGTTCATGAATGGATGTCAAATGTGGAATCGGTTTGAGTAATTGAACTCTTAGAAAATAATGAGAACAATTATATGAATTTTCAGAATGCAAACTCTGGCAGTGACGCATGTTAATGCCTGCCTGGATATCAATGTACACCACTTCATGTAGAAAATACAGAACAGGAAAACAAACTTTAAATCTTGTTAAACATGTGTTTGTGCATTTCTCTATCACACAGTACTTGGAATGACATTCTTCAGTATACACCCTGTATCCAGCCATATCTTGATTAGGTCATTCCATACTGGAAAAGCCTAGTAACTAATATCATTTCGATTTAAAGCTTTCGTGACTGCAGGGATTCATCTTCTTGGTTCTTTCGGTAAAGTCACGTAGAAGGGAAGTAATAAAATAATAAAAATAAAACATAATAAAACAATTCTCACGACGTTTCGGCCACAACGCAAGCAGCCGTCCTCAGGTGAAAACCAGGTCCGTCGAGGCGACAGAGTCTGAATGAAACAGCACACGGGCTTGGAGCATATATATAAGCTGGGCGCATTGACAAAGGAATTTGCATATCAACAGGAATTTAGCATATTTATGGGAAATGCAGGAATGTAATTATTACTGCATATGCATGTGCATTATGCAGGATTAACAGCATCAAAGGGAGCTGCAGTTACTGCTGCTGCAGTAGTTGCTGCTGCTGCTGCAGTTTCTGCTGCTGCTGCAGTTGCTGCTGCTGCAGTAGTTGCTGCTGCTGCTGCAGTTTCTGCTGCTGCTGCAGTTGCTGCTGCTGCTGCACTTGCTGCTGCTGCTGCACTTGCTGCTGCTGCTGCACTTGCTGCTGCTGCTGCACTTGCTGCTGCTGCTGCACTTGCTGCCTTATCCATTTTAATATAACACTATGTATTATTCTACCCACCCTAATGTGTATCATACTGCTATATGTTTACTGTACAATTACGACACCATACATTACTCTGCACACTGCACCATGCCAGTGAGTGGAACGCGGTCTGAAAGTCACTGTTAACGTGAACACAATCAGTTAAGATCCGAAATGGTTTATTACGTCCTTCCAATGATTGCTAAGCCAGAATCCATCTTCTCGGTTGAAATTGTCTCTGTGTTTGTATATGTGGATCGCCTCATGAACGAATCTCTCATGATAGCCAGATGGCTTGCAGAGAACCTCTGTCTTGGAGAAGTCAATGTCATGTGAGCCCACTGAATTGTAACAGTGATCTGCCACGGCTGAGGTGTTTGTCCTACCGTGTTTCAGGTCTGCCTTATGTTCACGGATGCGGTCCGAGACATGTCGTTTGGTTTCTCCAATGTAACTGCTACCACAGAGGCAACTTAGTTTGTAGACGCCAGGGTACTGTATGTCTGGAACCACATCTTTTACAGACGGGACCAGATCACAGTACATAAAATCCGTGATCTGGTCCCGTCTGTAAAAGATGTGGTTCCAGACATACAGTACCCTGGCGTCTACAAACTAAGTTGCCTCTGTGGTAGCAGTTACATTGGAGAAACCAAACGACATGTCTCGGACCGCATCCGTGAACATAAGGCAGACCTGAAACACGGTAGGACAAACACCTCAGCCGTGGCAGATCACTGTTACAATTCAGTGGGCTCACATGACATTGACTTCTCCAAGACAGAGGTTCTCTGCAAGCCATCTGGCTATCATGAGAGATTCGTTCATGAGGCGATCCACATATACAAACACAGAGACAATTTCAACCGAGAAGATGGATTCTGGCTTAGCAATCATTGGAAGGACGTAATAAACCATTTCGGATCTTAACTGATTGTGTTCACGTTAACGGTGACTTTCAGACCGCGTTCCACTCACTGGCATGGTGCAGTGTGCAGAGTAATGTATGGTGTCGTAATTGTACAGTAAACATATAGCAGTATGATACACATTAGGGTGGGTAGAATAATACATAGTGTTATATTAAAATGGATAAGGCAGCAACTGCAGCAGCAGCAGCAAGTGCAGCAGCAGCAGCAAGTGCAGCAGCAGCAGCAAGTGCAGCAGCAGCAGCAAGTGCAGCAGCAGCAGCAGCAAGTGCAGCAGCAGCAGCAAGTGCAGCAGCAGCAGCAAGTGCAGCAGCAGCAGCAAGTGCAGCAGCAGCAGCAACTGCAGCAGCAGCAGCAACTACTGCAGCAGCAGTAACTGCAGCTCCCTTTGATGCTGTTAATCCTGCATAATGCACATGCATATGCAGTACTAATTACATTCCTGCATTTCCCATAAATATGCTAAATTCCTGTTGATATGCAAATTCCTTTGTCAATGCGCCCAGCTTATATATATGCTCCAAGCCCGTGTGCTGTTTCATTCAGACTCTGTCGCCTCGACGGACCTGGTTTTCACCTGAGGACGGCTGCTTGCGTTGTGGCCGAAACGTCGTGAGAATTGTTTTATTATGTTTTATTTTTATTATTTTATTACTTCCCTTCTACGTGACTTTACCGAAAGAACCAAGAAGATAATATTATCATTGGCTGGGTTTATTAGTTTAAGTGATCAGGTTTTTGTCACTCCAATCAGCTGTGATTGATAGCGAAGTTTATTTGAATTTGGCCACTAATTCTGTCACTTTCATCTTGGAATTTGAGGAATGTATCATATTGTGAGTGGAAATAATAAGTCATAAAGAGAAGAAATAATGTCGAAGACAAAGCAGTCAAACGATGAAGGAGCTGAGTGTTGATGATATATTTCACAATTAGACAATAGTGACTCTTACATTATTGATTGACAGGCAAGTCCTGAGCTTATTTCGAGGTTAATGTTACAGTGTGGGTACTGGGAGAGCTTATATGATTGGGAACTCAAGCCTTAAGAAGTATTCAGACTGCATATGTGCATAATGCATTGAGAATCCTAGTTCTTTCCTCTGTTTGCGAGAAGGACTAATAATTACATGGCCCCTCTATTTTGATCAAGAGTTGAATATACTTTTAAAGACGCCAGATATTGACCTTGTTTGTTGTGTCTTGGATTATAGGTTCAGATTATTTGTGCCTCAGTATCACACATCTGTTCATTTGAATAAGTAGATATTATAAACGGTTTGCTACTCTTAATCAGGCTCAAGTGGACTCCAGCTGCAGTATGGACTTCTCTCTCTAGGCTTGCTCCGTGCAGTTCAAGCTTGCCAGTTTGGCTGCCTTAACTATTACCTGGAGCTGACATTAACCAATGACACACTGCCTGAGTATCCGGGCATGCCAAACCCTCAGATTGATTCATCCACTCACTGGGTTATATTTATGAAATAATAGATGCAGTTAACTATGAGGATCTACAACCTCAGTCACACTCTGCTCAGTCAAATCAGTTTGTCCTGGCCTTATGTAGTGTGCCTGGTGAGCCTTAAACAATAAAGCTTCCACAGGTTTAAATAATATGACGTAAAAAGTAAAAACCTTCCTTCATATTACTTACAAGTTCGCCTTTGTGTTGTGGGAGGACAACAGCACCTGGACAAAGCTCAGTCCTTTTCAAAATGTATTGGTATAGACAGGCAGCCTGCTGATTGTATTACCGCATAGCAGGGTTTCTCAAACTGCAGTCCTCGCGACCCACCACACTACGTCTTTCTGAGTTCACTAGTTTACTCTCCATTCAAATACAAATGAACTCGTTCTACGCTGCACGCGTTCAATGATTTTTAAACAAGTTCCACGTGATGCACTAAGCAACTAACGCCATCTGCGGCACGTGTAAATACGTGCACACACACACTGGGGGGAGTGGAGTTTGGGAAATCTTGCCGGATAATCATTACTGTAGATTGATTGTCTCGCATGCATGATGACGTCTGCGTGATCCAACAACCACATCTGTAAAGTGCTGGCTAATAGGCCACCTGGTTATCTTCCCGTTGCCTTTGCATTACTGATCACGTGTGTGATATTCTTTTTTTATTCCCAGAATATGCATTGTCGACACCGAGCCCAGGTGAGATGTATGTGTTTTGTGCTTGCGCACGTGTTGGCTTGTGAGTTACCATTTAAAACGAGTACTGCTCGGTGAAGGCCTCCTCACATTCTCTCTGCCCTGGGAGTTACTTCACCACAATGGAAAGCCACACTCTTGTTCAGGAAAGTACTGCTACATTTGGTTTTTATTTTAAGATGTTTTCAACCGATTGTTTTTTTGTGCTCATACAATTGGGAGAAAATAGGAGCACCCAGAGAAAATCCACGCGTGCGAGGGTCAACAGCCGCCACACTGCGTTGCCTTCTAGCGAGCCAGGGGGTAGAGCACCTCGACGCCCACGGGAAGGGAGTTTCACAACATCCAGCAATTTTGCCTCCACAATAGTGAATTGCAGGCGTGTGTAGACATTCACCACCCAATATTAGCATACGGACGGTTTAAATTCGTTTTAAAAACATACTTTCTACAGATCAGTGCCAACCGAACCCGTGCCTCAACGGTGGGACCTGCGTGGATTACGAGTCTTGGCATCCTGAAAACTTCCATTGCTACTGCTACGCAGGTTATTGGGGCGACATCTGCCAATACGATGGTAAGCAGACTTTACCTGCGGGCTTGCAAGAATGCATTCAGTATACGTGTTATGAGTTATTAACATCCTTGGGTTTCTTGGTCTCTCTCAACCTTAAGAAACTGGAGGTCAATGTTGTGAAAACTATTAATGATTAAAATGGTTTATGACGACGGTTTTGAGATTGTATATATAATAAACAACACACGCGGCAAATTGATCATCTTTTCTTAGGATGTCAGTCTATAATATTAACTTTGAAGTATACATGAGCTTTAACGAAACTCTGCAGAAAGTGGCAGAAGGCTTTTTAAATCAAATGTACAGTATCTTCCCGTTGCCTTTCAATCACTAACATGTCTGATATTTTTGTTTGATTCCCAGATTATTCACGGTCGACACCAAGCCCAGGTAATTAATATTTGTTATTGCTACGTGATGAATAAGAGTCATTGCTTGTGCACCACTGTCAATGCAACGTAAGCAAGTGATATATTTATATTGTGCGTTCCCACATTTTGGCATTTGAGTTGGCATTTTTATACGAGCACAAAGGTAGTTACTGCCCTTTATCAATCAACTGCTGCATGAAAGGCTCCCTACATCGAGTTTCTGGGGTGGTAATGGTGTTGAGGGTGAGATATTTTATTTGTGCCTCGATAAAGCCGCGTGCGCTTATTAATCTGTACAAATGTGTTAGATGGAGCATCACTGCAAGTGAACTGCACTTCGGAATACATAGAGTTTAAGATCCCGCAGAGTAAAGTGAACTCGCTCGGCCTCTCAAATTACGATGTCCACCTGGAGGACCCCTCGTGCCGGGGATACTCCACCGGACACTACGTGGTCCTGCAAACCCACCTCCAGGCCTGTGGCACCACGAGCCAGGTACAGTATTCATTGCCCAGACCCAGATCCCTACTCGTACACACAGGTAGCTTGGCAACCAATTAGAACATTACCATGGCAACCCATTCACACTCGTACCTGGGAGCCAAGACTAAGGACATGGGACTTTATCGTCCACCACCCATTGGGGCTGTAGAGCCAATATCTCACTCACAAAAGACATGATGTCATGGACCTTCACCCCTCTTGTGTGGGACATTAAGTTCAAATCTTATTGTGGGTTTAATAGGAGGTGGTGGTAGCTGCAGCTGTACATACCTCGTCATATGATTAGGTGAAAATGAAATTGATAAATAAATATTTGGGTTGACCTGTTGGTATTGTAAAAGTGGTCTGTAATCATGGTCAACGTTAATCAAAATTGAGTCCGAAGTGGCTGAGTAGCTTGGGAGGATCATAATGACCATTATGAAGCACGTACATCATGTGTCACTTTGTGACTATCGGAACTGGATGCATTATGAATTATTGCAGAAGGAAAGTCCTTTCAGGATGGAGGTTAACTCCATTTCACCGAACATAACAAAAACAATGCGCTCCATGTATAAATTTGCTGGCATTGGAATATCAACGTGGAAATATGTAAAATAGATTGGCATGCCTTTCAATTTAAAATGGATCCTGATTGTCAGCAATTTCACTGATCGAGATTTTTTAGTTTTTAATCAAAGTCAAACCCAATTGTAAAATATTTGTAACACCTATTATTGAAGAAGATGAACACTAAAGCTAGTTGTATCACTGTCTTGAGTGAAATGTATTTATCTGTGTGATTTATAATGTTAATGAATATTTGCATGCGTTTCTAGGATTTTCTGTTAGACCTGTGCATGGTTACAATGTTAAAATACTTGTTAGTGGCAGTTGTAATGTTCTGTTTAAATAATGCCCACGATGATGTTGGGTAAGAGACTTATTGAAGAGACTGAGATGGGTTTATAGTATTATATTTCATTTCCTGACAAGATCATCACGATAAAGATGTCTAATTTTTCCATTAAAGGGAGCTCTGGAGGAAATATTTCCACCCCATGACACATTTTGATTATTTATAATGAGTAGAAAATATTCAGTGTGTACATGAATTTTAGAGATGTCGTCAACATTTAAATTGAAATTTGCTGAAATAAGTTACCAACAGTGGTCATCTGTTGGAAGCCCTTGCCCAGTGAAAAACCATCCTCATTCTCATGGTAAGAACAAATATGTATTTAAAATGACCACTGTTGACCAAACCACACAGACTCAAGTTTACCCCCGCCCGAAAATAGTGAACTCGCAACCCTCCGTTTGTGGTGCAAGTTCTGTAACCACAACAGTGGGTGCACCGCATTGCTTCCGTCTCGCTTTTCCCCAACAGACAATCGGCGACACCGTTGTGTACACGAACACGGCGTACGGCTTCATACCAGGCACGAAGTTCAAGAAGCTGCGCATCCCCTTGCACTGCTACGTCGGCAACCAGGGAACGGTCGTGGCCAGCTTTGCTCCAAGGTGACGGCAGTAAAGCTGGGACACGACGAGGAGGAGGAAGGTTATCTCCCCCTACTTGGCATGCTTGGTAGATGAACAAAAAAGCCTCTTGTCCATCAAATAAAAAGTCTGTGGAAAGAAAAGATGCAGACGTAGTGTACAGCAATGGGTTTTTTTTTGCAGCACCAAAACGTCACCCATATGCAGGGATACTGTCATGAAAACAGCAATAGTTCCCATCGAATGCTCTGACTCAAACTCTGCCCCTCAGCCTAACTCAATCAGAACAAACACCGCTATTGTCCAAGTGTGTTCCTCAAATTCAAATTGACAATGGGTGGCGCTCATCTCAGTTGGTGGCCCTAACATAATGATTGGACATTCCACGTTCCTGTGGCAGAGACTGTTTGTTGAAGCCCACAGGGATCGATACATTCAATTTGGAACTAATTAATTGTTTCCATCTTGCCAGGACCTCCCTGGAAATGAGATGCGAATCTTAAGGTGGTTATTCTGGTGAAATAAAGTGTAATTAGTATTTAGACAGCTTGGCAAATAAAAACTATCGTTCTTATAACAGGATAATAACAACATCCAAGCACTATCCAGGCTCAACCCTGCTTATTCATTTGTATTTGTCTTAGCCCAATCTTAACTCCTAACCATTAGAATAAGCTTTTCCAAAATTCAAAACTAAACCTAAATGTTATCATAAACCACACCGTAACACTTCCAGCTGTGACTTGGCTCTCAAATTAAGGAGCAGCACTGTACAAGGTATCCATTAGAATGACTTGCTGATGGCGTGTTATCTTTCTGTATCTACAAATCAGGGTATGAAGGGCATCAACATTTTTAATATTTATTCTTTAAGCTCGAGATACATGACTTAGTAGAAATATGTTATTTTGATTCATCCGTGTAAGTTGCAATGCACGTCGCGTTAAGCCTCCAGCCACTAGAGACCGCTACGTTCACCGCAACATTAAAAATAATATTTTCTTGAATAAAATCGCCACCCTGACTTGGGAGGGCGAATCATTAGATCCGTTTACATTTATTTTTTTGTAAGAGAGCCTCTGAACATCCCTGTGTTCTCATGGCAGGGTTCACGACCAGTACAGCACGGCCCATTTTGAACTGAGTATGAAGCTCTACACGAACTGGCATTTTGACCATCCCATCTCTTCGTACCCATTCTCCGTGGAGCTCGGAGATACAATCTACGTGGAGGTGAGGACGGATTCCACCATCGAGGGGTTGACTGTGCTCTCAAAAAAACAACACAAATCGCATGGTAGGTGGCGTTTTGGAAATCTGCAATCCTCATCTCTGAAGTTGGACGTAAGCGGGGCAACTTTGTCGCACTATCTTTTAGGCCTATGTGTGCCATTGCCCGAAGCATCAACTATTCATTATACATTGTTTCCTTTTAAAGCAGTGTTATTGATTAATGTGACTTTATTTGTGAGTTGAGCTTATGCACCACTGTCAATGCAGCATCATAAAATACAATGTGTTTAATTTTGTTGCACAATGTATGCTCGAGTCTCCAGATATTGTGCAAGTGCTTACATTTAACATTTTAACTTTGAATAAACTCTCATTGCTTTTGGTCTGCAATAAACAATAATAAACAATTATATCTGGCTATCAGCTATTGTTTTAACCATTATTACAGTACCATCGAATAAGCAATTTGTTGAACTGGGTTTTAAAGTCGAATAGGCAATATGGGTAAATAAAGTCTACCCTCCCCCATCCCACCAACTTCATATATGTGATGGATGGATGGAGAATCGTTTGTTTCATATAGTTTGCTCTGTTGAAAATATTACAGTCCATTGTCAATTTGCCACTAGATGAAGGCCTTCCCATGCGTCAGCCATGCAGGTTTGGCCATACTTCGCCATAACTGATCAGTGTGAGTTGGTGAAAGGGAGGCCAAGTGCTGATGTTAGAATCAGAATCTTTATTTTATTTAGACTGGAGGAATCCGATTTAGCTATGAAGCTCTTTTTAACAGATATCCAGTATGATGTTGTTAGTAATACGTTGACACAAACTGGTTCTGGACAAATGATTGGAGCTTCGATCTGTCTGTTGTTTCACCAGGTGCTGCTCAACTCCTACGAACATGACCAAGAGCTGATGCTGGTCACGTGCAAGGCCTCCCCCTACCCAGGGGCCTCGGAGAGTGACTCCTACATCTTGCTCAGAGAAGGGTACACAACATGGCTTATTGTCTTATAGGCGTGTCACAAGACATATATTGTCTTATAGGAGTGTCACAAGACATCTATTCAACTGAAACTGTCTTATAGGCATGTCACAAGACATCTATTCAACTGTCTTATAGGCGTGTCAAAAGACATCTATTCAACTGAAGTTGTCTTATAGGAGTGTCACAAGACATCGATTAAACTGAAATTGTCTTTTAGGGGTGTAACAAGACATCTATTCAACTGTCTTATAGGCGTGTAACAAGACCTCCTCATCTGAAATTGTCTTAATCCCATGATACATGCATCGAAGAACGTGTGTGAGCATTTATTTTCTTCGTAGAGTGTGTATATAAAACTGAAGTCAATGATTTGCACACTATTCTCGTAAAGAGATTAATAAATGCTGTGTCAATTGGAGAGTCCAGGATTGCGTGCATTCCCTCTGTTGGCTGTAGGTGCCCTGAGGACCATTCTTACGACATCTACCCGAGCAGCGATGACACGAAGAAGCACTTCAGCTTCCAGAGCTTGGAGATGAGCAACGGTGCACAGGTGCTCTATTTCTTTCAACGATTGCATTGAACGCAGCTGCGGCCACTCAAACTATAAACTATTTTTTATATTACCAGGTAAGGCCCACTGAGCTATGTAGCTCTTTTTCAGAAGCGATTTAGCCACAAATGATAGCAAAACAAAGTGGCTTGTCATGTGGAAATTATTATCAGCCAAATACTTTAAACATATGTTAATTCTAAGTGTGGAAGGAAAAACTGGAGGACCCGCAAACTCGAACTATACAGCAGGTGTCTGGGTAGGGATCGAACCCACGACCTCCTGTATACCAGGCGAGGTAGTTAACATCTCACCACCGCGGCGCCTGTGGACTAGGAGAGTCCACAGGAGACACGCGAAACACATTTACGTTTCAACGTGTTTCGTGTGGTAGTTTTCGTAGGGCCCATTTGTCAACCCGCTGCTGGATGAGGGCCTCACCATGCCATACAGGTCGTGGAAGTTATTGGAACATACTTCACCACACTGGTCAGTTCTGGAATTGGAAGTCGTGGAAGCGTAGCTCTGGGAACATAATGCAGTACATGTTTCCCTCGCTTTATGCGATAGTTGATGTGTTACAAAGTGCAAAGCATAAACTACCGTCACCCTGACTACAATGCAGTGCACGAGGAGACAGCTTTCTGCTGAGTAGCACATACAGTCCACACAATGTTGTCTCCTGTCTTATCGCATAGACACATGTGGGTGAATTAAAACCGCATATAGCGTGTTTGGGTATAAATAAGTTCGCCACAAGTACACGAAATTTCACAAACTGAAGTCGGGGAAACTTGCACAAGAATACATTTGGCTGCACTGCCCTCTGGTGCTCACAGACACCGCCCCGCAGCAGCCTGCTGAGTGCAGGTGGTCGCCCATCCAGCCACTGGCCAGGCTCAATTCTGATTTGCTTCCGAGATCTGACAACATCAGGCTCGTTCCGGGTGATTTGGTCCTCCTCTTGTTGGAGTGCATATCACGAAGAGGTCATGGGACAGACCCAGGTGGCATGGGTTCACTGAATGAGATGACTGGCAGAAGCACCACCTTGTACAATTTATCCGCCCATCACTGCGCTAGTTGTTGTGAGCAATGCACTTCTGCCCTCCACTGTTGTTGGATCACGATTGCTTGCAGCAGAAAGACAAAGATCCCCGATATATTTTTCGATTTAAAGCTTTCGTGACTGCAGGGATTCATCTTCTTGGTTCTTTCGGTAAAGTCACGTAGAGGGGAAATAATAAAATAATTAAAATAAAACCTAATAAAATGATTCTCACGACGTTTCGGCCACAACGCAAGCAGCCGTCCTCGGGTGAAGAAACAGAGCTGTGGGAAAGACCGCGTCTTAATGAACACTGCTAAGCTTGGCAGCGTATTTTAAGCTGGGTGAGAGGAGGAGAGAGCCTTGACAAAGGAGTTTACATAGAGGCCGAGTCGACCTAGAGGAGGCCTTAGGAGTGATTCAGATAAGCGTCACTGGTGGTGATCGTGAGCGGGAATCGAACTCGGGTGGCCGGGTTCGTAACGTAGCACGCGGACCGCTGCCTATATGCACACGCACACACACACAAAGTAATGCTTAGCCTGGATCATGCAGGTCTATCTGGAGTGCACTGTTCACGTGTGCAATGCCTTGGACTGGCACTCGCGCTGCCGACAAGGCTGCATTGAGCGCGGCAACCGGACGGCACGCGACGTTGGAGAGGAGCCGCACGTGGCAGCGGAGAAACCCATCGACCTGTCCCAGGGCCCCGTGCTCGTGCTGCGCAAACAACGGGACGGTGAGTGTCGCTTCTCCCCGGCCTCGTCCTCCAAATGTGTTCGCACAGATTTCGGCAGTCTGTGTGTTGTTCTCGGCTTGGACCTTTCCCCCACTGGGGAATGAGGCTTCTTTCAATTGCTTCCATGCCTTGCTATTTCCTCTTGTTCAGTAGTGTCCTCCGAATTATTTGATTGCATCTCACTCTCTCTTCGGCTGCTGTCCTCTGCTTATTTTGCTCTTTCTCTCTTTCTTGGTATCCACCCCGTCGTTAAAGTTGCCCATCTCACGTCCGGTGTTACCATTGCATGGCCTGCTCATTCCATTTAATTCATTTTGCTTTAATAACAGCATCCTAATCCATGTTCTTTTCCTTATTTCTTCATGACTACTCTTTGGGTCTTTCGGTAAAGTCACATAGAAAGATAGAAACAAAATCACGACGTTTCGATCACAACACAAGCAATCGTCTTCAGGTGAAAAAAAATACAGCAGGTGAACTGCTGAGGCAGGATAAATATAACGGGAGAGCTGCTGCTATAAGAGATGGATGCAACCCCCAAGGGTAAGTGGGCGGGGCTAGAGATGGAATTTGCATGTAAATGTAAGATCGGAGAGCCTGATATACATCACGACTGTTCCATAGATAAAAAAAACTGTTTTCACTTGTCTGTGGTCCATCAACAAAAACTGAAATATAAGTGGACACAGCCTCACATACATGATGATCAAATGGGTATCATTAGCGTTTCACTTCTGCTCTACTGCTGCTTCTGTTGCTACGATCGCTGTTCCTCCTCCTCCTGCCGCTCTTACTGCTGCTGATGCAACATCTGAGGCTGTTCCTGCCACCGCTGCTTCTGTTACTGGTAATGTTTCTGCCGATGCGTTTTGTTGTTGCTGCTATTGCTGCCTGTCTTGTTGCCAATATCGCCGAGTCTAGTACATTTAATTTGTTATTCATCTGTGGCGCCTGTCTGTTTATAGATCCGCCATCCAAGGCGCCATTGCATCAACAGCAAAAAAGAATACAGCAAAAATTATAAAAAAAAGGTTAAAATGCTGGACTTAACCGTGTATATCAATCTTGATTTGAAGCTTTCGTGACTACAGGAATCCATACTCTTTGGGTCTTTTGGTAAAGTCACGTAGGTAGAAAAAATTATAGATCACGATGTTTTGATCGCAACACAAGCAATCGTCATCAGGTGGGACAACCACAGCAATAAAAAAACTGCTGAAGTAGGCGAGAGATCTGCCGTGGCATGAGGTTATATAGGCCTCGGCAGTGGGGGGAGGAGAGAAGGGGGTGGGGGGGGAAGGAGGCGGGGCAGAAAGTGCACCCCGCAGTAGCAACCGGGTCACTGGAGTAAAGTGGGCCACCGCAGCAGCACTGGAGGGGTCGGCTGCAGGGGGGGGGGGGGAAGAGAAGGGGGGGGGGCAGAAATTGGACCGTGTATATCACCTTCATTATTATTTCTGCTGAAGCCCCCAGTCAACCAACCCTAGGTGGGAGGTCACTCATTCTGCTCTGCTACGCCCATGCTCTGAAACTGACTTTACCCCTGCTGTCAGTGCTATCGATTTTCTGCCCCTGTTCAGGTCCAGACACAAACACAATTTTGTCCTCGGCCCACGACTGCATTCTATACTTGATGCATAAGTACACCGTTTGTCTACAGCGTCTGCAGATGTGATTGCATTGTTGTGCATTTCATAAATCCACTTTGCATTGCGTTTTGGACAACCCGCCACAGCCTCTCTGGAGCAAGGCAGCTCTGGAATGCCCGGCTGGACGGGCATAGTGTATGCCTTGGCTGCCACCCTGGCCATCAGTGCCGTCTGCGTGGCCACGGTGAAAATCTACCGGCTTCGCACCACCAGGATTCGGTATCTCCCACTCTCCACCGCTGATGAATGAATGACTGAACAGGCCGTGCGCTCTTTTTGCTTAAATTATGAGCTGCACCACGTACTTTTCTAACCATAAATCACGTAAGTCTCACTTTAATTTGCCATTTATTTTAACTTTGATTCAAATAGAGTAGAGCTGGTTAGTTGCAACCATTTATTGAGCTCGCAGTGTATTCAGGTATCATTGAGATATATGTTAACTGCCAGAGGTGTGAAGATACCTATATTAATTAAACAACATTGCTTCTTAAGGCTTACATCTAGTTGCGTGTGTAAAGAATGGTTGATTTTCGATTCATGGGAAATATATCAGAGAACACTTTCCAACACGTATAAGGAGACTTTATGTAAAGCATAAAAATACATATTTCTAGTCATCAAAGCTGGAATATTAGCCAAATTAATAAAAAATGTGGCGGTTTTTATATGCAGTGATTGGTGACCAGGCTGAGATAATAAATTCACTTTAATTGAGAATTCGGCTTAATCACAAAAGAATTAAGTGGGGGTTTTAAGCAAGATGTCCAGCAGTGTTGGGCGGGACTCCTGAGACAACCAGTCCCCTCTATTTTGCAAAGATCTTATGTACAAAAAATACACCTTTTGAGTGTCGTCAAGTGACTGTGAACCAGATGTTGAACCAGGTGGATGCATGGAAACGGTGGCGGTATTTGAAGGCATCGACTGCATTGGCCATGATGATCATTTTACATTTCAATAAAAGTTACTGGATGCAACCGCTGCACTCTCTCCAGTGCCATTTTATCGCTACTACACTGATCAGTAATTACTCTTTTTAACTTATCAGTAATTCTGAACACTTATGCGGAACATGTCCTGTTGAAATAGTTCGTTTTTATTATGCAGCGTGATTTTTTTTTTGCAAGAAAAGGGATGTCCAACAGATTTTCGCCTGCTTCCTATTATCCTGCACAAATAAACCGTTCAACATTCGTATTTCTCCGTCACTTCGTTTGTACCGGCGTTTGACAAAAACACGGGTCTGGGTGCGTGTGTCGGCTGGGAGTGAAACCGCCCAATGCACCTGCCAGTGAGCTTCTGGTATAGACCTGTGATGATGCGTGCTTCTGAGAAGGACACCATTGGGCACTGCACTGCCTTTTTCAGGACTGTCGGCAAAAAATGTTGCATTCTATAGGTACGTATGTTGAACTTAGTTCGCACCCTATGTAGTCAACCGTGCTAATCGGAGGTGCAGGGGGAAGGACAACGAATTAAACACAAAAAACTGTTCTAAAGAAATTAGTTTTACAATCGAGATTTCAAAGTGCGTAGCTTCAGTGGCTTCCTATAATGCAGCGAGTGCCCAAGCGAGCGTTTGGTGGCATTCACTCTCCCTTGACGGCCGCTGAGCCCTGGCGGTGAGAAGTTCACACTACTATTCTGGCACATTAGGAATGGACCACTCTTTTAATTATTTCCTCGTGCAGCAGCAATGGAGTAAAGTGTGGTTTTGTGAAGGTCCTTATGTGCTGTACAGTACATAAATGAACGTCTACACCAGCATGCGATACTGAGTCAGGCCTGTAGGTGGCTGGCAGGGTTATTGAGTAACCTGACCTGGACACCAGTTACATAGTTAACTAGCTGTACTACCCGGCTTCGCCCGGGACTTGTATCCACGACGGCCGGCCGCCTTTGTCTCCCCAGTGGCGATGTTAATACGCCACACCAGTTACTCGTTTTGCGGCTGAGTCCCTCCCTCACCACTCTCCCTCCCTCACCACTGTCCCTCCCTCACCACTCTCCCTCCCTCACCACTCTCCCTCCCTCACCACTGTCCCTCCCTCACCACTCTCCCTCCCTCACCACTCTCCCTCCCTCACCACTGTCCCTCCCTCACCACTCTCCCTCCCTCACCACTCTCCCTCCCTCACCACTCACGCACGGCCGCCTTTGTCTCCCCAGTGGCGATGTTAATACGCCACACCAGTTACTCGTTTGAGGCTGAGTCGACCTAGGGGAGGTTCAAATAATCGTCACCGGTGGTGGCCGTGAGCGGGAATGGAACTCGGTTCGCCGGGTTTGTAGCGCAGCGTAGCGTTAACCACTACACCCACCGCTCCTCACACACCACACACGCACAGACACACACACAGACACACGCAGACACACAGACAGACACACACACACAGACACACAGACAGCACGCTAACCACTACACTACCGCTCCCCACACACGCACACACACACGCACACACACAGACACACACACACAGACACACAGACAGCACGCTAAGCACTACACTACCGTTCCCCCTACACAACACACGCGCGCACGTCCATAGGTACACATACACGCGCTTGCTGCAGACACACACGACTGTCAGGGTGCGTACGGCAGTAAACGACTGAAAAAAGAAAGCGGCAATGCTGCGCGAGGAATGCCTTAGACCTGCAACACATTTGTGTAATGCGAGCGTAAACACACAAACACATACAAACACATACACACACATACATACACACACATACACACATACACACACATACATACACACAGACATACACATACACACAAACACACACATACATACACACAAAAACATAGACAATACACACACACATACATGCAGACACACAGACAGACACATAACACACATACATACACACAGATACATACACAGAAACACATACACACAATACATAGACACACACATACATACACACAAACACATCCACAGACGTACATACACACATACATACAGATACGCAGACATACACATAAACACATACAAAAAAACCCACATACATACACACACACACATACACACAAACACATACACACACATACATACACACATGCATACAGACACACAGACATACACAAACATATACACACATACACATGACCCGGCTTCGCCCGGGACTTGGATCCACCACGCCCGGCCGCCTTTGTCTCCCCAGTGCCGATGTTAATACGCCACACCAGTTACTCGTTTGAGGCTGAGTCGACCTAGGGGAGGTTCAAATAATCGTCACCGGTGGTGGTCGTGAGCGGGAATCGAACTCGGTTCGCCGGGTTGGTAGCGCAGCGTAGCGTTAAGCACTACACCCACCGCTCCTCACACACCACACACGCACAGACACACACACAGACACACACACAGACACACGCAGACACACACAGACAGACACAGACAGACACACACACACAGACACACAGACAGCACGCTAAGCACTACACTACCGCTCCCCACACACCACACACAGACACACACACAGACACACACACAGACACACACACAGACACAGACAGCACGTTAAGCACTACACTACCGTTCCCCCTACACAACACACGCGCGCGCGTCCATAGGTACACATACACGCGCTTGCTGCAGACACACACGACTTTCAGGGTGCGTACGGCAGTAAACGACTGAAATAATAAAGCGGCAATGCTGCGCGAGGAACGCCTTAGACCTGCAACACATTTGTGTAATGCGAGCGTAAACACACAAACACATACAAACACATACACACACATACATACACACACATACACACAAACACATACACACACGTACATACACACATACATACAGACACACAGACATAGACATAAACACATACAAAAAAACCCACATACATACACACAGACATACACACAAACACATACACACACATACATACACACATACATACACACGCATACATACACAGAAACACATACACACACATACATACACACACATACATGCACACAAACACATGCACACACGTACATACACACATACATACAGACACGCAGACATACACATAAAGACATACAAAAAAACCGACATACATGCACACACACATACACACAAACACATACACACACATACATACACATGTAGTAAGTATATATGGAGGCTTGACGACAGGATCGGAGGCACACTTATTTATTACACCAACACAGTTATTACAGGTCACTTGGCTACAGGGATTCTCGACAGCTAACCCCTCTAACCTATACCAATTCCTCCACTACGGGACTAGGGGAGGCTATCTGTCCCAGCTTGGTTAAGCTGGGATCCCGGCTCCCTGAGTCACCAGACCAGCTTCGTCTGGGCTCTCGGGGCCACGCCACCGGCTTGCCCTGGTCGACCCTTATAAGGACAGCGAGCCAGGGGAGCTCTGGGGCCTACACTAGCTGGTCTTCCGTCTTCTCTGGTTAAAGCTGAGTCCCGACCTCGAGCCCTCGAGCTCATCACCTTTTATAGGACTCGCCCCCGAGGGGGGGCCCGTGGGGGATACACATGCGGACGTCGGTGCTAGCGCCACCCTTGTGTACGGCCGTAACCCCGCCCCTTGTGTTTGTTGGCCATCCGTGGCCATGCATAATCACACCTCAACATTCGTAGCCATGCGCAATTACACCTCTACATCACCCCCCCCTGTACAGCTCGCAGCCGTCCCTGGCTGCAAAAAAAATCAGAATAAAGGTGCATCCCTCACAAAAACCCCGTGTGTGTGCCTCGCGTAATTTTTTTTAACAAGAACAAGAGAACCTTAACAAGAACAACAACAGGAAGAGAGAGAGAGAGAGAGAAAAAAAATAACCCGACGCACCCCCCCCGAATAAATACCCCAAAACCAACATATATACACACACTCCGGACGCCACCCCTCCCATTGTCCGCAAGGCCCCCCAACGGCCGACCTCACAATAGTCTGCGCGTTTTGGCGCGCGTTCTCGCGGCGGGCCCGTCACAAGGGCCCGTCCTGGCACGCTCAGTGACGGTTGTTGACGGTCCGGGTGCAAGAGAGTCAGGCGTCGCTGCCGAGTGACCCCCGACCCCTCCGGGAGGGGTTGGTGGGTGTGGACCCGTCACTCCTGTTGCACCTGGGGACGGAACAGTTGATGTCGGGTTAGGCGAGTGCAGCGACGTCGGGGAGTCGGCGGAACCCTCACACGTTTGGCCATGCGTGTGTGTGTGTGAACCACGGGGCGGCGCGATGAATGGTTTCAACCTTGAGGGGTGCACATACCACCGGCGCCTCCCCCATTTGACGCGAACACATTGCGGCCGCAAGACCTGTACGACCTCCACTGGCCCCCGCCACGGCCGTACCAATTTTGACGAGGTTGCCAGCGGCACCTGGGGACAGTGCAACCACGCCCTGTCCCCTGGTTTCCATTTGACCACCTGCACCCGCCCCAACCGAAGCCTCTCGTTCGCCTTCTGGCGGAGTTCGGAATTTTGCACGGCCGCTTCCCGCGCCTCAGACAATTGAGCGATGTTAAATTTAACGTGTTCGGACAAATTAGACTTCGCCTGGAGCGCCGAGAGCTTCAGCTGGGTCGCCACAGGGGGGTTAACTTCGCGCCCATACATTAAAAAGAAAGGGGAAAATCCGGTGGCCGCATGGGGAGCCATTCTGTAGGCCTGCAACACACCGGCTATGCGGAGGTCCCAATCCGTCTGGGATACCGACACCTGCTGGGACAGCATGGACGTGATGGTCCGATGCAGCCGTTCCACCATCCCGTCAGTTTGTGGGTGATACGGAGACGTCCGAACCTTCTCCGTACCCAAGAGGTCGCACACCTCACGTAGGAGTTTACCAGAATAATTCCTACCCTGGTCAGTAAGCAGCCGTTCCGGGGCACCCTTGTCGAGGACATAGCCCTGGACAAAGGCCTCCGCGATGGCTGCTGCCGACTGGTTCGCCAGGGGCCAGGCCATAGGCCATCTCGTGAAGTATTCAACCCCCGTTAGTAAATACCTATTGCCCCTGGGTGTAGCGGGAAATGGGCCAAGTATGTCCAGAGCGACGAGCTCGTTAACCCGGGAAACTTTTATGGACTGCAGCGGAGGGTTGGACCCCCTAGCAGGTGGCTTCCTCTGCGCGCATTGCGTGCATGACCCCAGGAGATCCCCCACGTCCTTTTCCATGCCCGGCCAGAAAAAATCTAGCTGGAGCGTGGCAAAGGTCTTGTGAACCCC